CAGAGTATTGAGCAGAGTTCCCTGGGCTGGCCAGCGGGTCCTTGCTGGTTCTCCATGTTAAACACAGCCGTGTGTCCATGTCCATCCCAGACTCCCTGACTCTCCCTCCCCCCATCCTTCCTACCCCTCAACCATAAGCGCCTTCTCTAAGTCTCTGAGTCCGTTTCTGTCTTCTAAGTTCATTTGTACCATTTCATTTTAGATTCCACACGTAAGGGATGCCACACCACATTTCTCCTTCTCTGACTTCACTCAGTGTGACGCTCGCTAGGTCCAGCCATGTCTCTGCAAACGGCATTAACCGTCTGGCTTCTTAGGAAAACTCCTTTGAAACTGAAAGTACTAGTCGCTCAGTCATGTCCGACTCTCTGTGACCCCGTGGACTGTAGCCCCAGGCTCCTCTGTCCATGGGATTCTCCAGGCAAGAACACTGGAGTGGGCTGCCATGGCCTCCTCCAGGGGATCTTCCCGACCCAGGGATCGAACCCGTGTCTCCTGAGTCTCCAACATTGCAGGCAGATCTCTACCACTGAGCCACCTGCAAAGCCCATACATCTGGAAACAGTCACCATCTGCCATGTGGTTTTAGAATAAGCGTTAGTCTCGGTGGGGGTAACTGAGTGCCTTTTCTGTTTTCTTTCTTTGAAATTAAAAAACTTTTTTTTTCAACTTTTGGCTGCTGCGAGTCTTCGTTGCACTGCTCAGCCTTGCTCTAGTTGTGGCTCTTGGGATGTCTAGCTGTTCCACGGCATGTAGCATTAGTTCCCTGAGCAGGGATGGAACCTGCGTCCTCTCCATTAGAGACCGCCAACCACTGGGCCACCCTCTTGCTTTCCTTGGAGACACAACGTGCTCAAACGCAAGTTCTGTCTGAGCCACAAGAAGCCCATTCTCGTGGGTGAAAATTCTCATGAGATTTCCTAGCAAACAGAGAAGATGCAGCGAAAAGTGAAAACAGGATCAAGGTGTCCAAGTGCCAGCCCCATCCCGTGAGCACTTATGTGCAGGTCAGACTCTAGAGGGAATAATAGAATCAGCTTGTCTGATTTCACGTCACACACTATTCTGGGCCTGGGTGTTGACAGCCTTCAGTGGGTGTGGGTTGGCGTCCGCCCAAGTCCCGTCCTCTTAACAGAGGCTTGTCCCCCAGAGTTCCAAATATAAACGCGGCGTGTTCTCCGGAATCCAGCGTAGCTATGAGCACAGCTGTGCTTCGCAGCCGTCTGTCCTTTATCCTGGCCACCTCCCTCCCACCCCCCCTTCTAGAACAGGTGTGTGGCAAAGATAACTGCCTGTCCACAAATAGCTGGGGCTCCATAAATGGCCCATGGATGGACAGATGTCCCAAAGTCCCCTCAACTCAGAATAAAAGCAGTGCTTGGATGTGATGCTTTTGAACTGTGGTGCTGGAGAAGACCCTTGAGAGTCCCTTGGACGGCAAGGAGATCCAACCAGTCCATCCTAAAGGAAATCAGTCCTGAATAGTCATTGGAAGGACTGATGCTGAAGCTGAAACTCCAACACTTTGGCCACCTGATGCAAAGAGTTGACTCCTTGGAAAAGACCCTGACGCTGGGAAAGATTGAGGGCGGGAGGAGAAGGGTACGACAGAGGATGAGATGGCTGGGTGGCATCACCGACTCGAGGGACATGAGTTTGAGCACGCTCTGGGAGTTGGTGATGGGCAGGGAGGCCTGGCGTGCTGTGATCCATGGGGTCGCAGCGTCGGACACGACAGACCGACTGAACAACAGCTTGGACTGACAAACAGAACATTTTGCCACTGGAGTGGAGGGCTGGGGGCACCATCTGGCTCTCTCACCTTTGGCTGTAAACCAAAGGGGCATTAATTAGAGAGATGAGACCACTGCAATTGTGGCCAAGGGCACTTTCTCGCCCACCTCCTCGGCTCAGACTTCTGTTCTCTCTCTCTCTGTCTCCCATATCCACTTCCAACACCTTACAAAGTATGACTTTCAACTGTTTCAATTTCAACAATTGCCTGGCTTCTCCCCACCTCCCCGGCTAGAATATACATTTGTTAAAAGCACGGATATGTCTGTAACTCCTAGAACCACGAGTGGCAAACAGCAGCGAAATGAAAGTCGCTCAGTCGCCGCCGACTCTCTGCGACTCCCTGGACTGCGGCCCCGCCCCGCCAGGCTGCTCTGTCCGTGGGATTCTCCAGGCAAGAATACTGGAGTGGGCTGCCATGCCTTCCTCCAGGGCATCTTCCCGACCCAGGGATCGAACCCGTGTCTCCCGAGTTTCCTGCATTGCAGGCGGAGTCTTTACTGCTGACCCACCGGGGAGGCCCTAAAATATGGATATATAATTGCAATCGTGGTGCACATACAGAAGGAAGCATACATATATATATATATATATATACACACACTGCGGAGTTTGTTCTCATTCTCCTGCTTTCCTGTCAAGGTTATTCACAAGGCTTTCATCACAAAAATGCGGCAAGCAACTCAGCCGGTTGGTGTGTTTTTCTAGCTGCTAGGTTTGAACTATGTCTCGCAAAGGGCCTTGTAACTTGCCAACAACACTGCATCTGATGTAGCAACCAAAGACCCCTTTTCTCTGAACAACGTCTTGGGAGAATGCAGCCTCGGTTTTGCAATCGGCAAACATCCTCTGTGAGGGACCCGGGAGGAGAGACCGCCTTGGGCTCACGGCGCCCACAGGTCACCTGGCTTCCTGGATAGCGCCCCCCACCCGCAAAGGAACCCAGCCGCGCCCACAGCAGGATGTCTGCCCCAGGTTTAAAAATGGACCCAGCTTTTGCCCGGAGATCCAGGAGGATTGCCTGTGGCTGACCGCCTTCTGCTCTGCTTGCTGTTGTTGTTCACTCAGCCGTGTCCGACTCTTTGTGACCCCGTGGACTGCAGCACGCCAGGCCTCCCTGTCCATCACCCGCTCCCAGAGTTTACCCAAACTCATGTCCATGGAGTCGGTGATGCCATCCAGCCATCTCCTCCTCTGTCGTCCCCTTCTCCTCCTGCCCTCAATCTTTCCCAGCATCAGGGTCTTTTCCATTAAGTTGGCTCTCTGCATCAGGTGGCCAATGGATTGGAGCTTCACTTCAGCATCAGTCCTTCCAATGAGTATTCAGGATTAACTTCCTTTAGGATGGACTACATACCTCGGCCATAATAAGGAATGAAATTGTGCCATTTGCAGAGATGTGATGCACCCAGAGATTGTCTATACAGAGAGAAGTAAGTCAGAAAGACAAACATTGTATGCTAATGCATATATGTGGAATCCAGGAAAAGGGCATAGATGAACGTATTTGCAAAGCAGAAATCGAGCGTGGGATAAAGTGTGAAATTGAGACTGATGCATATACAATGGGCATCCCTGGGGGCTCAGCGGGTAAACAATCTGCCTGCACTGTGGGAGACCTGGGTTTGAGCCCAGGGTCAGGAAGATCCTCTGGAGGCGGGCATGGCAACCCACTCCAGTGTTCTTGCCTGGAGAGTCCCATGCACAGAGGAGTCTGGCGGGCTGCAGTCCATGGGGTCGCAGAGAGTTAGACACGACTGAAGCAGCTCAGTACACTCGCTGGCAATATGAAACAAACAGGGCAACTGGAAAAAAGAACAGACACAAACATCTCCACAGTTTCCCTGAGTTGCCGTCTCTGGCTCCCACCTACTTCCCCCGTGCCCTAGCCACAGGGCGCTCCAGCCATCCCAAGCCCACACGTCAGCAATCAGAACCCACCAGGGGGAGGGAAGCTTGTTGACAGAGGGTACTGGCCCCAATACGCAGCTTCCTGAGGCTAGGGGTATAATGAGACCTGGGACTGTTTGTCAGAACGTCCCAGAAGATGCTGTGACCTGTGGAAGCAAAAGCTGGGGGACGAGGACTCGGAGCGAACCGCAGGTTAGGGTGTCCGGCTCCCGTGGGTCGGAGCGGGTGGTCTCTACTTCCTCCAGACCTATCAACCCGCCTCGTGGTGTTTCCTGGATCTCCCGAGGGTTGGGTAGAACGTGGAATTCCTTGGCTGCTTTATGAGCTGCAAACCGTAATGAAAGGGTGGGTTCAGGGATGAGGCCGGAAGGAATCTGCCTCCTCCAGGCCTGCGTTTGCACTTGGCCTGGAAGGGTCTCATTTTCTCCCCCAAGGCAGGAGAAAGTGCCAGGAACCACCCCTCAACCCCCTCCCCAACCTGGAATGCGGCTTCTTTAACCCTCTCCTTCCCTCTGGGCCAAAGCAATCTGCTTCCTCTGCCATGTGTGTGGTTAGTTAACGCATGCACTGAGGCATCCATGAATTATTAATTCACTCACTCACCCACTCTAGCAGACCAGCGCTCATTCACGAATTCACACACTCACCCCTTCTTGCAGGCATTCATTCATTCATTCGGGCAGGCATGCACACGGGAACTCGTTCATTAATTCACTGAGGCATGCACACAGGGACTCATTCATTCATTCACTCAGGCAGGCACATGGGGACTCATTCATTCATTCACTCAGGCATGCACGTGAGAACTCATTCATTCATTCACTCAGGCATGCACGTGAGAACTCATTCATTCACTCCGGCAGGCACACGGGGACTCAGTCATTCATTCGCTCAGGCAGGCACATGGGGACTCATTCATTCATTCACTCAGGTGTGCACAGGGGGACTCATTCATTCATTCACTCAGGCAGGCACACGGGGACTCATTCATTCATTCACTCAGGCATGCACGCAGGAACTCAGTCATTCACTCAGGCATGCAGACAGGAACGAACTCAGTCATTCACTCAGGCATGCAGACAGGAACTCATTCATTCACTCAGGCATGCACGCGGGAACTCATTCATTCATTCACTCAGGCATGCACGCGGGAACTCATTCATTAATTCATTCTGGCAGGCACATGGGAACTCATTCATTCATTCACTTAGGTATGCATTCACTCATAACTGTTCTCTCCTTTCTCTATCAGGTTCATCCGCCCGTGTTAACGCTTCTCTCCATCACTGGCTCAGATCAATCCCTCTCTCCTGCGCCCAAGCACCGTCCACGCCGCACCCACGCACTTTCCACGCCCCGGGCGCGCGCCTCCTCCGCTCACCGCACGTTCCCTCCATACGATCACGTTTCCAGCGTGGCCTCTGCCCTGGGCCGCGTGCTGGCCTGGGGCCAGGCCCGTGAGGCCAGTACAAACATTGACTTTGGGGGCGGCGGGTTAAAGGTTAGAGGTTTTAGAGCCAGGACGCCCCGGACGCCTGGATTCTGCGGGGAGGAGGCCGAGGGATCGGGGCGCGGAGGCCTGGGCGTCCGCCTCCAGGCTCTCCCTTCCGGGGCTGGGGGTGGGGGGGGGCCCTGGGGCGCGCGGCTGGGGCCGGCCGTGCGGAGGACCCCCTCCCGGGGGCGGAGCTGACCTTCCCGAGAGCCGCCCACCTCCCGGCCGCGCGCCGCCCCGCCCACCCCGGGCCAGCAACTTCAGGAGCGCGGAGAAGGTGGGGGGCGCCGCCGACGATCGGGGGCCGGGAAGGGGGATGCAGGCCTAGGCCGGGGCTGCCCCAGCGCACCGCGTGGGGGCGGCCTGGGCGCGGCGGAGACCCAGTGCTCCCGGAGCTCGGAGGAGGAGCGGGCCGTTGGGGTGTGGAAGGCTGGGGGGTGGGGGCGGAGGAAGCTTCCGGAGGCGTGGTTGCAGCCTGGGCGCTCGGGGTGGGGGGGCCCGGGAGCGGATAGGGGGTGCACTTGGGGTGCTGGAGCGCAGAAGCTCAGAGAGGGGCGGGGCGCACGGCTGAACACGCGGTGAAAGGAGTGATCAGGGTGGGGGGCGTAGCGAGGCCGCTGAAGTCTGGGCAGTGGATGGGGGTGTGTATGGGGGGGCGCCTGGAGCCAGTGCCGGGCGCGGCGCGGGGACCCTGAGGACACCCGGGGGCGCCCAGGCGGCGGCAGGGCCCGCGGCTGCCCCTGCGCGCGGCGGAGACGGGAGCTGACTGAGGAGGGGCCGGGGCGTGGGGCGGTGCGGGTATCCGGAACGCCCAGCTGTCTCCGCAGGCCTCGAACTCGGAGCGGGTGGGGCCCCTGGAGACGCAGACAACGCCTCCGCTCTGCTCGGCGGCTGGAGCCCAGCAGAGAGGCCGCCCGCCGCGCCCCGGCGCCCTCGGCCGCGTGGTGCCCACCGCGCGCTGCACCCACACCATGCCCGGTAAGCGGAGAACCCTCCTCGCGGCCAGCCTCCGCGCCCTCCTAGCCCGGGTGAGATGGACTGCGCCGGGGGCGGGGGGGACCCCCACCTCCCCGCTTTGCCCGCACAAGGTGGTCCCCACACTCCTCAGCGCCCACGGTGCTGTGTCCGCCCAGCCCCTCGCTCACCCCGGGGGCTGGAGGGCTTGGTGACCTTTGGTGCGATTCGCGACGACAGTGAGGGGGGGGGTCTCAGCGGCAGGCGGGGGACACTTGTGGCTGTTGTTCACTGGCTCGGTCGTGTCCGACTCTTGGCGACCCCATGGACTGCAGCGGGCCAGGCCTCCCTGTCCATCACCATCTCCCCGAGTTTGCTCAAACTCACATCCATTGAGTCGGTGCTGCCATCCAAGGGGCTCGTCCTGGGTTGCCCCCTTCTCCTCCTGCCCTCAAAAAAGATGGTCAAGGGGCACTGAGATTTGGTAATTTTCCTTCTGTGAAAGCTTAGCCCTTGGAGGTTGGGTGGACCCTTTTCTTGGCAGGCGCGGAACTGTGTGCTTACTGCCATGCAGAACCATGGGAAGTTCGCGGTGCTGAAACTCTGGGAAGACAGAGCGTCTCTGGTCCTCACCAGGGTCAGACCAGAGACAGAGCTGCTTCTTCCCGTATAAAGATCCGGGGTTAACCCCCGCTGCAGGGCAGCAGGCTGACTTTGGTGGGATGGCTGTGGCAAGCGCTGACTCCCAAGGGCTTCCATTGCGTCCTGTCTGCCCGCCCTCGGGTTTGGCGGGGACATCTTATTGGGACAGTGGACCTCAGAGGCTTAGAAATGGGATGATAAAATGTAACCTTCTCCCATGGGAAAGATGTCTGTCCTGGTCTGTTTTGTTACGTTTTGTTTTGTTTTTTTCTGTGGGGAAGAGGGCTGGTTTGGCCACCTGACCCGGCTTGTGGGATTTTGCCTTGGCGACCACGGGTGGAATCTGGGCCCCCAGCTGGGAGAGCGTGGCATCGTAACCGCTTCCCTGAGTCCGTGCTAAGTGTCTCAGTCCTGTCCGACTCTTTGCGACCCCATGGACCGTAGCCCCGCCAGGCTCCTCTGTCCGTGGGGATCCTCCAGGCAAGCATACCGGAGTGGGTTGCCATTCCTTTCTCCAGGGAAGCTTCCTGGACCAGGGATCGAACCCCGGTCTCCTGCACTGGCAGGCGGATTCCTTACCACTGAGCCACCGGGGAAGCCGTACCTAACCACTTGCCTGCCGGGGATTCCTGCCCATTCCTGTTTTGTTTTGTTGTTTATCATGAAGACAGTCTCTTCTTGCACCAAGTCAGGCCTGATCATTCATGAGAGCATTAAAAAAAAAAAATTCAGGTTGCTTTTTATTCAGAGGAGCGATTTGGTAAGAAGTCACCGGGCGGCTTCCCAACTGTTTTCCACCTCCGTGCCTTAGAGAGGCAAAGTTGTTTGGGCCGATTTCCTGCTGTACGCCAGAAGGTTCTGTTGATGTGTGTTCCAGGGAGTGGCTTGGAGCTCTCAAAAAAAAAAAAAACAAAAAAAAAACGCATTTTCTGGAAGCCGGCGAGCGTCTGTATAAATGGTGGCATTCAGGAGGGGTGTTCGGACCCATGGCCGTCGGGCTGGGCAGCGTGCTGCGGGGACCCCGCTGGGGATTCAGCGCTCGGCCGGGAACAAAACGCGCCTTTGAGTGAAAGCGGAGGGGCCCCCCGAGGAAGCCAGCGGTGTTATTTTGGGGGAGTGGTTGTTAGGTGGGCGGTGGTGGGGGGAAGGAGGCGAGGAATCGGAGTAAACATTTCTTCCCGACCCCTCCTAAAACCGACAGCTGCCGCCATCTGCAGGGTGAAGTCCACTTTGGGAGATGTTTGGGTTTTTTTTTTCTTTTTCAACGTGGGTCTGGAGGACAGCCACCAGACCTGTCTGTGTTCCATGCCAGACGTCCCCACCGTAACACCCCGTTGCGTGGAAACTCGGCCTTTCAGTGTGGGTGCGTACGTGCTCGGCGGTTCAGTCGTGTCTGACTCTTTGCCACACCACGGACCGTAGCCCGCCAGGCTCCTCTGTCCATGGGATTCTCCAGGCAAGAATGCTGGAGTGGGTCGCCATGCCCTCCTCCAGGGGACCTTCCCCACCCGGGGATCGAACCCGCGTCTCTTATGTCTCCTGCATTGGCAGGCGGGTTCTTTACCACCAGCGCCACCTGGGAAGCCCTAATAAATAGATGGGTAGATAGATGTTGTTAATATTAATAGATAATGATAGATGGCATGTAAGATGGATAGAGGATACATAAATATAGATGATAAATAAGTAGATGACAAACACATGGATAGATAGATGTTATCAATATTAATAGATAATGATAGGTGACAGATAAGATGCATAGAGGATATGTAGATATCAAGATAGGTAAGTAAGTAGATAAATTAGGTGGATAAAGAAAAAAAGGGAAAGAAAGTGAAGTCGCTCAGTCATATCCGACTCTTTGCAACCCCACGGACTGTAGCCCACCAGGCTCCTCCGTTCATGGGATTTTCCAGGCAAGAGTCCTGGAGTGGGTTGCCATTTCCTATACGGATGTTCTTAATGTCAATAGATGATGATAGCTGGGTGGATGAGTAGATAGCCATCTTTGGGGCTGCAGACTTGAGTTCTGAGTTTTCCCTGTCGGTAATAGCTCACAGCAGAGATGCCAGGAATCCTCAAGTTCTCCTTAATCCAAGAACGCCAGCCAGGGGTAGACAGGAGGTCCTTGGGCAGGTGGGCACTCACCCCAGCAGAATGCCAAGGTTAAGGCGGGAAAGCGGGCTCGGAAGGCTTGGGTCCTGCTATTTTTTCCAGGTGACCTTGTCTTTGGAGGCGGGGAGGACGCAGGGGCCACAGGGCACCTCCGTCTGGCCGTGGAGAACTGGGCTGTGTGTGTTCCAGCCCCAGACCAGACGCTGCGAATGTTAATTTCTGTCGCGGGCTCGGGAGCCAAGGCCCGGGTCTCCGGATCCCCCCTTGGTTTCGTCCCGGCGGCCAGCTCGCTCTTGGGGACCTCAGAATCAAGCGGCTTAAAATTCCCTGTGAACGTCCACATCACGCGTTCTCCGCACTTGGAGGTGCCGTCAGTCTCATCGGCTGTGGGAGTTTCCTTCCCTGCTGCGGAGACAGTGGGGAAACAGGGCGTTTTTGCTGAATGAAGCAGTCTTCCTTTCCCTTCTGAAGCCCGTCTCCTTGGCCTCACACAGCCTTGAGCTGAACTCTTGCCAACGACTGGGGCGTGTGGGATTTAATTAATAGGTCTGGCCGTTTCCTTCTGAAAGCCCAGTCCTCTTGGCAAGTTGGCTGGCAATCCTCGTGGTAACTCAGATCAAGCCGAGCGTTGTTTCTACCTTTGGCTTTGTGTTCACCCGAGACCCACAAGTTTTGGGTGAGTTTTTGAGACTTGAATGCACAATCAAATAAGTGGTCTAAGCTAGGCACATGCGTTGTGCTGGAGCAAAAGGAAATTTTATTTTTTCAGCTGAAGGATACTTGATGTACAGTGTTGTGTTGTTTTTAGCAAAGTGATTCAGTTGTGAATACGCATGAAAACTGAAAATTCCTATTGGGCTTTCCAGGTGGTGCTAGTGGTAAACAATCTTCCTGTCAGTGCAGGAGACCCGGGTTTGATTCCTGGGTGGGGAAGATCCCCTGGAGGAAGGCATGGCAGCCCACTCCAGTATTCTTGCCTGGAGAATCCCAGGGACAGAGGAGCCTGGTGGGCTACAGTCCATGGGGTCATAAGAGTCAGACATGGCCGAGCATATACTCATGTATATATTGGGTATATATCTATATCTAGATATACTTGGTTATGTATGTCTTTATGTATATATTCATATTTTTCAATTTACATATATGTGTGTGTGTGTGTTTTAATTTGGAGATAGGGGCATGGCATGTGAGATCTTAGTTCCCAGACCAGGGATTGAACCCATGTCCCCTGCAAAGTGAAGAACATAGTCTTAACCGCTAGAGCACTAGGGAAGTCCCTCTGTATTCTTTTTTTTTTTCATTATAGGTTATTACAAGATATAGAGTTCCCTGTGATATACAGTATGTCCTTGTTGTTTATTTTATATACAGTGTCTGTTTGTATATAAACAGAGTATGTGATTAAAATTTCCTGGTGTATATAAGCAGATACTGTATATAAACTTATGTTCATCAGCAGCAGGAAATTTTAATCACACTCTGCTTGACTTTGTGTCGTATTTACTGTTTTCTGTTATGTTTCCTGCATGCATGTAGGTTTTTTTCCTTTTGATTTTTGTGGGTTTTTTTTTAAATTTTTTTTTTTAATGAAAGAATGCACGTGAAATGTCTGTGAAGCGTATTTTAGAATATGTATGCATGCGTGCTAAGTCACCTCAGTCGTGTCTGACTCTTCACGACGCTATGGACCGTATGTGGCCCGCCAGGCTCTTCTGTCCATGGGGTTCTCCAGGCAAGAATACTGGAGTGGGTGGCCATGCCCTCCTCCAGGGGACCTTCCCCACCCAGGGATCAAACCTGCGTCTCTCACGTCCTCTGAATGGGCAGGCACGTTCTTTACCACTGGCGCCACCTGCGAAACTCTTGTTCAGTCCACGTCGCGAAGCTTGAGAGAGTCAGAGGTGACGCTCAGCCCCACCGCTGACCCCCGAGACCAGGCGGGAACATAACCCGGTTGCTTTTGTCCACAGTGTCCGACCAGGCATTTGTGACGCTGGCCACCAACGACGTCTACTGCCAGGGGGCTTTGGTGCTGGGGCAGTCGCTCCGGGAGCACAGGGCCACCAGGAGGCTGGTGGTGCTGGTCACGCCTCAGGTGTCCAACCCGCTCAGGTACGACTCACACACACACCCGGCTCTTCTGACCGTGGAAGCTGGAGGAGGTTCTCGGCCGTGGTCCGTGAGCTTGGACCGGGGCACACATGGGGGGCCCTGGACACTTGCAGAGGGCCTTGCGGTCGTTATTAGAGGAAGGGGCTCCGCTGGGTGCGTGGCCGACTTCAGAATCCTTGCACGCAGCGCCACGTGTGTGTAGAATAGTTCCTTGCCTCAGATATGGAAATCAGTGTCATTGTTTTGGGGTCCGGGCGGAGTGGGGGACTTTGAGAAGCAACCGTCCTACTAGTCCACATGCGTGCACACTCCTTAAGTCGCGTTACAATCTCTGCCACCCCATGGACTGCAGCCCGCCAGGCTCCTCTGTCCATGGGATTCTCCAGGCAAGAATACTGGAGTGGGTAGCCATTCCCTTCTCCAGAGGATCTTCCCAGCCACGGGATCGAACCAGTGTCTTCTGCATAAGCAGGCGGGTTCTTTACCATTGAGACACCCGGGAAGCGCACATCTTGAGCTAAGTTAAAGCATTTTTACTTCTCTTACATTTTTATTGAAATATAGCTGATAGACTGAGGCAAAATCTGACAGAGACTGTTGGTGGGGTGGTGGTTCTGAGGTAATATGTGACTGAAAGATGAACATTGGAAGGTAAAATCTGATAGAAACTAGAGGTCTCTGTGGTAAGATCTGACAGAAACTGGGGGTTCTGAGGCAAATTCTGACAGACACTGGGGGGTTCTGATGTAAAATCTGACAGAAGGAGGTTCATAGGTAAAATCTGACAGACAGTAGGGGTTTCTGAGATAAAATCTGACAAAACAAGGGTGTTCTGAGGTAAAATCTGACACACAAGGGGGTTCTGAGGTAAAATCTGACAGGACATAGGGGGTTCGGGGTAAACTCTGACAGAAAGATGAACATTCTGGGGTGAGATCTGTCAGAAAGATGAACATTATAAGGTAAAATCTGACAGAAACTAGAGGTCTCTGTGGTAAAATCTGACAGAAACTAGGCGGTTCTGAGGCAAAAATCTGACAGACAATAGGAGGATCTGAAATAAAATCTCACAGAAGGAGCTTCTGAGATAAAATTTGGCAGGAAGAAGGACCTTCTGTGGTAAAATTTGACAGAAAGATGGTCTTTCTGAGGTAAAATGCTTGCAGAAAGAAAAACAAAAAATTTCGTGTTTTTTTCCCCCCAGCTTCCTGGTTGGCATTAGTTGTAAAGAACCTGCCTGCCATTGGAGGAGACAGAAGAGATGTAGGTTTGATCCCTGAGTTTGGAAGATCCCCTGGAGGAGGAAATGGTAACCCACTCCAGTATTCTTGCCTGGAGAATCCCATGGACAGAAGAGAGCCTGGCAGGCTGCAGTCCATGGGATTGCAAAGAGATGGACACGACTGAGCACATGCATCTGTACAAGGATTTTTATCCCTCCAGAACCTTTTAGAGAAAAACACTTCAGCATATACTCCAACAAAATGAAATGTGAGCCACAAGGGGCAGAATATCTTATGTTAAAGGGTTTCCTGGTCTCCTAGAATTTGGCCTGTCTTCTTCCAGGGTTATCCTCTCAAGGGTGTTTGATGAGGTTATCGAGGTGAACCTAATAGACAGTGCGGACTACGTCCACCTGGCCTTTCTGAAGAGACCTGACCTCGGAATCACTCTCACCAAGCTTCACTGCTGGACGCTCACCCATTACAGCAAATGTGTCTTCCTGGATGCAGACACCCTGGTGAGTATGGAGGAGGGGGAGGCCCAGACCTTGTGCTTGATGAGGAGCCACCCACTCAAAGATCAGACCCCTCTCTCCATTAGCAGGCTGCTAGCCCATGCTGGTGGATCCCCACCAGGTAATGTCCATCTCTACACCCAACATCATTTAGTCAGTCAACATCGAGTAGAAGACACCCAGTGGTGTTGCTGAGAACACTTGGTTACTTGAAGGCCTGTTCCTTCCCTAGGACGAGTTATTTCATTATGTCTTCTACACAAAATAAAATATTGGAAAAATACTCTTCTGTGATTGTACCGTGAATTATACAGTCCTCGTGGGCCTGGAAACCTGGCTTCTTAAGCTATGGCATCTCCACTGTAGTCATTCGGGGTAGTGAGCCTTGCTGTAGGAGGCCTGGTCAGGTACGTTCAGAAATAGCCATTGGAACGTCGAGATGTGAAATGAGGTTGGAAGTGTTGGAGATCCGCTCTGGGTTATCTTGGTTGTGCAAAAGCAGTGTAGGAAGATGGAGGGGTGGAGAGGAAAATCAGAACAGAGGAACAGTCACAGTAATATTTTTTTTTCCAAACATGAGCACAATTTATAAAGCCAATAGGTGTGTTGGAAAGGAGTGCTGTCAGTGGTCAAGCTCCCAGAGGCAGTGGATGATATCATATTGACTTGCAAACCTCCATGTTTGTGGATTTCCAGTCTCGTAGGTCACATTTGCTAGATGGAAGAGAATAAATACAATTAAGAGCATATCATCAATATATTGGGGTTTCCCTGGTGATTCAGATGGTAAAGAATATTCGTGCAGTGCAGGAGACCCAGGTTCGATCCCTGGGTGGGGAAGATCTCCTGGAGAAGGGAATGGCAACCCACTCCAGTATTCTTGCCTGGAGAATCCCATGGACAGAGAAGCCTGGTGGGCTACAATCCGTGGGGTCACAAAGAGTCGGGCACGACTGAGCAACACACATCAGTGTATCGACTTGCAGACCACTATGTTCATGGATTTCCAGTCTTGTTGGTTACGTTTGCTAGGTGAAAGAGAATAAATATAACTAATTAAGTGTTCAAGTGTTCCACAGAGGATCTTAAGAAACTGTCAGTGATAATTTTGTTTCACAGATGGTGTTGCTTCGATCCCTTGAAATAAAATGAGGGAGCCATCTTATACACACATTCTTCTCTTTGGAATATAAACCTCAAAGAAGAGGGTCACTGAAAAAATTGGGTATAAATGTCCCATCATGGACCATTGTCTGGGTCATCATGAAGTTCCTGTTGCATTTCTCACTTGTATGTTAACACACTACTGACCGGGGAATTTTTGCGGAAAGTAATGCCTGTGCATGGTGATTTGTTACGTAAGTGAATACTGAAACACTTTCATCAGGAATGCTCAGGTAACAAAAGACATGGTTCAATCTCTGGGTAGGGAAGATCCCCTGGAGGAGGGTATGGCAACCCACTCCAGCATTCTTGCCTGGAGAATCCCATGGACAGAGGAGCCTGGCGGGCTATGGCCCATGGGGGCTCAAAGAGTCGGACACAACTTAGTGACTGAGCAATCGTAAGCTTGCAGGCAAATTCCCTTTCGTGATGAACTTGTCCTGGTCAGGATGGGCGCTAAACAAGGGAAGTTTAGCTTGACGCTCATTCTGTTGGAGGCAGGGTTCTTAGAGACAGAGATGGGCCATTGTGTATCATTTAAGCTAAAGTGCAACATCCCTTTAGTGATATGTGTGCTCATCATTTAAGCTAAAGTGCAACATCCCTTTAGTGATATGTGTGCTCCCTCGTGTCCGACTCTTTGTGACCCCATGGACTGCAGCCCGCAGGCTCCCCTGTCCATGGGATTCTGCAGGCAAGACTACTAGAGCGGGTTGCCGTTCCCTTCTCCAGGGGATCTTCCCGGCCCAGGGGATCGAACCCACGCCTCTTGCGTCTCCTGCATTGGCAGGTCGGCTCTTTACCCCTCCCTGAGCCACCTGGGAAGCCGTGTGCTTTATCCCTTTAGTGATAAACTTGTAGCAGAAGCAGTCGCATATAGTAGTTCAAGTCACAGACCCAGATTCAATCTGGAGTCAGGCTGGTTCTCTCCCGTCACGTCGTCCGGGGTCCCCCACGCTCTGTCTCCCCAGGTGCTGTCCAACATCGATGAGCTGTTCGACAGGAGGGAGTTCTCTGCGGCCCCGGATCCCGGATGGCCGGATTGCTTCAATAGCGGGGTGTTTGTCTTCCAACCCTCGCTGGAGACGCACAGCCTCTTGCTACAGCACGCCACCGACCACGGCAGCTTTGACGGTACGTTGAGGGGCAGCTGGACGTTTGTGGACCAGACTGGGGCTGTGGCCACCCCTTTGACCCAACGGCACTTCCTCCCCGCCACCTCGAACCTGTGAATAGCAAGTTAGAGATGGGGTTTGAGGGACTTCCCTGGCGGTCCGGTGGCCTAGACTCCGAGCTCCCAGTGCGGGGAGGCGAAAACTACACCATTCGTTATTAACTTCTTTGGCTGTGCTGCTCTAGGGGCAGACCAAGGCTTGCTGAACAGTTTCTTCAGTAACTGGTCCACCGCTGACATCCAGAAGCACTTGCCCTTCATCTATAACTTGAGCAGCAACACCACGTACACCTACAGTCCTGCTTTCAAACAGTGAGTTTTTTAGATAGCTATGGTTTGTGAAAAAATATGAAAGATGTGTGCCTTTTCATACAGTTTCAAAATAATAGGGTTTTATATATAGTTGCAGTTAGATTTTCTAAGAAAATATGGAAGGTATAGATTTAACTACACATTTTTTGAAAATGTAGTTTATATAGAGTATATTTTTTTTATTAATTTATTTTCTTATTGAAGGATCATTGCTTTCAGATTTTTGTTGTTTTCTGTCAAATCTCAACGTGAATTATGAGTATGAGGGCTTCCCTGGTGTCTCACATGGTAAAGCGTCTGCCTGCCAATGAAGGAGATGCAGGTACGACCCCTGGGTTGGGAAGATCCCCTGGAGAAGGGAACGGCTACCAATTCCAGTCTCCTTGCCCGGAGGATCCCATGGACAGAGGAGCCTGGCGGGCTACAGTCCATGGGTCGTAAAGAGTTGGACACTAAACAGTGAGGGATGGAACCCACACTTCCTGCATTAGAAGGCAAAATCCTAACTCCTGGAAAGTCCCAGACTGGGCACAGTGGGCCATACAGAACATAGATCTCTGGGGGGGAATATAATGTCAAAATTTTATAAGAAAGCAATGAATTAAGAAAAAAACGTTTTCAAAACTGTGAGGTTGGTGCGAGTGGTGATAACAATAAAAAGACGAAAGTCGAGAGGAGAAAAATTTCCATTTTGCCCAAGAAGCCAGTTTTCTGGTCTGCAGTTTTCGTTCTCTCCTGTAAAATCTATTTTTTTTAAAAAAATCTGTCACCGTTTTCAGGGTGAGATGATTTGGGCTACGAAACCGCCCACCTTTCTAAGACTCCTGATTTATTCTTTCTGTTGTGGGGAGCATCCCAGTGGGTTTTGGTTATGCTTCTTGGTCTACAGAAATATGAAAGACTGCCATTGTGGACTGACTATAAACAATTATTATTATTATTTTTTAATGCAAGTCTAAGTGGCCGTCACGAGAGGACAGTCCCTGAGCCGTCGAGGTGCATGTTTGCACCTCGCTGCCTGTGACGAGTCCTGTGGTGGTCACTGGCTTTCTTTTTTTTTAACTTTGCTGATTTTTGTCTGTGATCAGCCTTCCTTGCTGCCTTATGGGCTTTCTGCAGTCGGGGTGCCAGGCTTATCACTGCGGTGGTTTCCCTTGTTGCGGAGCACGGGCTCTAGAGTTGCTGATCTCGGGTTTTTGTTGCTCCGAGGCAGTGGGATCTTCAGGGACCAGGGATCAAACCGGTGTCCCCTGCGTTGAGAGGCAGATTCTTAACCCCTGGGCCACCAGGGGGCTCCGTCCCTGGCTTTCTGGGCGTGGTCGCTCGCAAGAGGAAAGCGAGATGTTTTTCCCGTGTGTGTCTCCTCCTCAGATTTGGCTCCAGCGCGAAGGTGGTCCACTTCCTGGGGTCCTCGAAGCCTTGGAACTACAAGTACAATCCCCAGACGGGCTCCGTTTCGGAGGAGGGCTCCGGGCGGGCCGACCAGCATCAGACGTCCTTCCTTAACCAGTGGTGGGGAATTTACCACCGTCGCATCTTGCCCCTTTGTGAGACTATCCGGAACAAGGATCACCAGGGGTCCCCAGGTCACACGGTAAGCATCCTCAAACCCCGGAGTTGAAACCAGGGATTAAAAAGAAAGAGAAAATTTCTTTTCACTGGGGATCAATTCTCCATGAGCCACACTTGGGCATTTTCTTCAAAGGCAGACTCCCCCGTGTTCTTCTCATTTCTCTTCTCATTTCTAATTTTTTTCTTTAAACACAGGTACAGCATGTGTGTGAGTCACTGAGTTGTGTCCGACTCTTTGTGACCCCATGGACTGTAGCCCGCCAGACTCCTCCGTCCGTGACATTTTCCAGTCAGGGATACTGGAGTGGGTTGCCATTTCCTTCTCCAAGATACAGGATATTATAAGCAACTACCGAGTTACATTAAAAAAGAAAAAGTCTGTCAATGTTTCAGAGGCGGATTTTCTACAGAAATTTTTGTTTTTATAGTGAACTATATCCTTATTTCCAAGAAAGGCACTTTCAAAGTGGTACTTAATAGATGTTGTGTTTTTAACCTATTGGCCACTTTTGTGCTGATCACATTTTTAACGGCAAAAATTTGACAGTCGTAAATGCATTTTTGTTTCTAATATCCAAATACTTATTTTCTTATTTTAACCATGATCCTTTTTCTGGGGTGAAGAAGTTGGACTTCAAATGATAACATAGCTTTACGACCTCACAAATAGTTTTCAGTTAAGTTAGGGTGTTAGCTCTTTGACAGTTCTCCATTCCAATAAAGTAAATTACATCCCCCCCTCAAATCAAGTGGTAACCATTTTGCATAATATAATTGTATCAAATCAACGTGTTATATACCTGAAACTTACACAATACTGTATGTTAATTATATCTCAAGACAGTTTGGCGGCGGAAAGGAAGATAAAAAACCTTTCCCTTTAGAAGAGGAAAAACAAAATCTGTCAGGGACTACAATAATAGAAGAAATAATACTTTTTAAAGTTCAGTTTTAAAAAATATTTACTTATTTGGTTGCGCCAGGTGTTCGTCGCGGCACGTGGCATCTAGCTCTTTGACCAGGGATCGGACCCGAGGCCCCGCTCACGGGAAGCCCAGAGTCTCGGCCGGTGCACCACCAGGGACGTTCAGGACTAGTTCAACGTTTATAGACATGTTTACTTAAAAATGAGGGAGTCAGAAGACATGAGATAGTGTTGACACACACCACAGAGGAATTGGACGAGGAAAGATGCGTTATTTCACCGCAAGAAATAAAGACCATAGTTGGAAATTAAGGAGCCGCCAAAGCTTCACGTCTTGTGATACTTTTCATCTGTATTCATGTCCTGTATTTCACGTAGGAAGATGCTGAAAGAGGCAGGCAATTTATTTATTTTTTTGGGGGGGGCTGCAAAATCATGAATGTATCATGAGCAGAACTGCGGCTTCGGTTTACCGAACCGACGCAGAAATAGTTATTTAAATTAGCCGGCGTCGTCAGGGAAAGAGCCACTCATTGATTAAGTGGCTGGAAATGACTGATTACACACGCCGTCGGTGCGGGCATTTTCCACTTTCTGTCCTTGATTGAAGAGGCCCTGGAAGGTGGTGTCTGAAGAGGGCTTTTCAAGCTCTGGATGGGCACCCATTTGATTTTTTTTAAAGTATAACGCTGCATGCTCTCCATACTGGAGTTTCTGCAGTGAATTTCAGTAGGCAGGCAAAAGACCTTTTAAGGTAAGGCCGCGGGAAATTTTCTTTCTTGGTCTGTTTTTAACGGGCACGTTTATTTGTACAGTGGAGTCCAGTGTCTGCAAATCCATGCATTGGGAACTTGAAAAAGAGTTCACTTTTTAGTGTTTTTACTGCGGTTTTTGTTTGGTGAAGCTGGGTGCTACTTTGCAATCAGAACCAAAACTTGCGTGCGACTTCTCTAGTGGTCCAGTGGTTAAGACTTCACCTTCCAATGCAGAGGGCAAGGTTTCGATCCCTGGTTGGGGAACTAAGATTCCCCGTGCTGTACATTGTGGCCGAAAGATTGAGGAGAGGGAAAAAAAAAACAAAAAAACTTTCTCTGACCATTGGAGACGATCACATAGGTGTTTATTCAGATTCTTGTCGCTGATAGCAAGTTGCTTTTCTTTTCCGCCAAGCAGTCTGCTTAGGCTGTTTCCTTTTTTAAATAGAGTCGCTCAGTTGTGTCAGACTCTTTGCGACCCCATGGACTGTAGCCCGTCAGGTTCCTCTGTCCATGGCATTCTCCAGCAAGAATACTGGAGTGGGTTGCCGTTCCTTTCTCCAAGGGATCTTCCAAACCCAGGGATCAAACCCATGTCTCCTGCATTGCAGGCGAGTTTCTTTACTGCTGACCCACTGCTAGGTACTGGGTTGTATATGAAGAAAGATAAAGCAGATTCGGGTGGTTCTAAGAAATGAAACGTTGAGAGCCGTGTAGGGAGCCTGTGCCATGGGGTCCTTCCTACCTGAAGCAACAATGTGAATGTGGATGTTAGTGAGATTTGTAGAGAGGTCAGGAGTCTCTTGGACTGCAAGGAGATCCAACCGGTCCATCCTAAAGGAAATCAGTCCTGAATATTCACTGGAAGGACTGATGCTGAAGCTGAAACTCCAATACTTTGGCCACCTGTTGCAAAGAGCCAACTCACTGGAAAAGACCCTGATGCTGGGAAAGACTGAGGGCAGGAATGAAGGGGACGACAGAGGATGAGATGATTGGCTGGTATCACCCACTCGATGGACATGAGTTTAAGCAAGCTCTGGGCAATGGTGATGGACAGGGAAGCCTGGCGTGCTGCAGTCCATGCGGTCGCAGAGAATGGGACGAGATTGAGCAACTACGGGCAGCTTTGCTAAGTGTGAACGTTTTTACGCAGGCTCGCCTCGGAGGCGTTGGGGGGCAGTGTTCCGGTGCAGTGGCCGCGGCAGAGGGGTCGTGTGCAAACCCAGCAGAGGGGCCCAGGCAGACTTGCTCTCCTGCCGGCTCGGAGAAGCCCGTGGGGGTGGAGGAAAACAGCGCTACTCTGGCGGCACGCCCTTCGGACGAGGTCAGTACGTACGCTCTGCACGGGGCGATGGGGCTCAGGCTCACTGGTTACCATGGAGACGGGGGATGCTCCCTGGACCGCCGGGGACGGGGGAGGGGCGGACCCTGTCTTCAGGTTGCTGTGGCGTCAGTGTGAATGCGTGTCGCCCAGTCACGTCCGAGGAGTGCTTCTATCTTGTCTATGCAGGTGGCACTGGAAGCCGGTCGTGATTAATCTCTGGCCTCAGGCCCAAAGCCTGAGATCAGAGTCTGGCTCCTCCAGCCCGAGCTGTGTGAGCTGAGGCAAGTTTTACCAACCTCTCTGGTCGCCTGTCAGCTCATCTGAGAAATGAGTGACAATAATAACGACCGCTGTCTCACAAAAGGGTGGGGAGGCCGTTGTTCAGCCGCTCAGTCCGACTCTCTGCAACCCTCTGGACTGTAGCCCCGACAGCCTCCTCTGTGCATCCTTCCGGATGCTGCAGGCCTGAAGACTGGAGTGGGTCGCCATGCCCTCCTCCAGGGGATCTTCCCGACCCAGGGGTCGAACCCGCCTCTCTTAAGTCTCCTGCACGGGCAGGCGGGTTCTTTACCACGACAGCCACCTGGGAAGCCCTGTATTGGCGTAGAGCCGAGTGCGGAGGGTAGGGACTCAGCCATTCATATGCATGCATCCATTCTCCCCCAAACACCCCTCCCATCCGGGCGGCCACATAAAAGCCATTTTCAAACCCCTTTGTCGGTCTCGAGACTTAGCATGATGACTTCACTGATGGGGGTGGGATTTGGGGGCCCCGTGGAAGGGACGTTGTCCTTTCCCGTCATCTCGCCAATAGCTTTCCGGGGGCTGTTTCTTGATTATGATAAGACAACGGACATTTCGATCTTTAGCCGACGTTCCTATGGGGCGTTTCTCTTCTACACTTTAGCAATGGGATCGGTGATGTCCAGGCAGCTTCCATGCTTTATTAGAATTTTGGAGTTGTGAATTCATAGCCACCCAAACAAATTGAGAAAAAAGAAAAAAAGACCCTGGTTTGGACCATGGAGGCGGTTGGGAAGTGAGCTTATTCCTAAATTTTTTTTTAAATTTGTTCTGCTGTACCCTGAAGTCTTCCCATCACCTGGCTGTGGCCCCAGGAAATGGCTTTGTGGGTTAAGCAGAAAGCATCCGCCTTGCAGGAATGTGAACACTCTGTGTATTAAGCGCTTACGTTCCTGTAGACCCACCTCCCCGCTCCCTGCAGGAGCCACACCCGCAATGGGAATTTAAAAAAAAAGAACTATACTCGACTGACCGCATTGTGTTAGGTCTTACGTGTCCAGCAGAGTGCTTCAGTTATTTGTTTTTTTTCAGATTGTTTTCCATGACAGGTTATATCACAAGGGACTGAATATAATGCCCTCTGCCATACAGTAGGGCCTTTCCGTCTGGATTTTTTGAGAAGAGTCGGCATTCGCGTTAAATGTTTGATAGTCAGACTCTGTGGGGAATCTCTCAGAAATAAATAAATAAATAAAAGGAAATAATTATATAAATGATTATATAATGTAAATAATAAGTATACATGTATTCGTGTAATGTGTTATATTAATATATTAACATAAATAAATATAAATAAAATATAATTTTATATTTATAAATAAAAACAAAATACAAATTAATGTAAATATAAATATAAATAGCAATACATATCATAATTTAATATAATTATATTAATCAATATATTGATATGATTAACAAATTATACAAACATAATTTATATAAATAATGTAGTATAATTGATTAATGTAATAAACAATCAATATATTAACCATAAAACAATAATATAGTCATATCAGTATGTTATTATAAATAAATATAAATAAATAAGGTAGAAATCATTTTATTAAAATAAATCTAAATTAATATGAATATGTTATAGTAGTATATTAACGTAAATAAATAAAATTAAAATTAATAAAACTAATAAAAAACCTTTCCAACTGCAATGGTTAGTTTTATGAGTCAAGTTGAGCAGAGTAATGGGTGCACAGAAGCTGGTGAATCATTGTTTCAGGGTGTGTTTCTGGAAGAGATTAGCATTTAAGGATGTGTCCTTCGGGACTTCCCTGATGGCCTAGTGGTTAGGACGCTATGCTTCCACTGCCGGGGGCCCTGGGTTCAATCTCTTGTTGGGGAGATCCCACATGTTGTTAGGCGTGGCCGGGGGAAGAAAAAAACAAGAAAGAAAGTCTCTATTGACTATTTTCCGATGAGCATGTGTGTCTAAAATTGAGAAAGTCATGGCGCTTCTATACGTGAAAGTCACTCAGTCGTGTCCAAAAGCAAATAATAGAAAAATGTTTAAAAAATAAACTTTGGGGGAGGAAGTGGGCGGAAGACCTAATTAAACATTTAAGTCCCAAGAAGACGTGAAAGTGAAAGTCAGTCAGTCGTGTCTGACACTTTGCGACCCCACAGACTACACAGTCCATGGAATTCTCCAGGCCAGAATACTGGAGTGGGTAGCTATTTCCTTCTCCGGGGGGGTCTTCCAACCCAGGGATCGAACCGAGGTCTCCTGCCTTGCAGGCGGATTCTTTACCAGCTGAGCCGCCAGGGAAGCCCAAGAATACTGGAGTGGGTAGCCTTTCCCGTCTCCAGGGGAGTCTTCCCGACCCAGGGATCGAACCCAGGTCTCCCGCTTTGCGGGCAGATTCTTTACCAGTTGAGCTATAAGGAAGGGGTCCTTTTTATAGTGTCTGTGCCTATATTTCATTATTTTGCACTCCAAGGTCATCTTTCTGGAGAAGACAATAGCAACCCAGTCTGGTATTCTTGCCTGGAGAATCCCATGGACAGAGGAGCCTGGCGGGGTGCAGTCCATGGGGGTCACAAAGAGTCCGACACAAACTTAGCGACCGCACGACACAAACTTAGCGACCGCACGACACAGCAGGCATCTTTGCAATTAATTATTCTGCGTTGCTGCCACCTACTGACCATCTAGTGAATGACCCACTCTGGGTTCCTTATTTGGGGAATTGGGAACCCAGTCCCCTCCAGCCCTCCACCCCTCTCACCCACCCCCCACCAAAAAAAAAGAGAGATTATTTTCATAAATCCTGTAAATAAGGAAGAGACGGGTCTGGGATGCTTATTTCAAACAGTGGCCTTGTGTCCGAGTCTTAACGACCCCATGGACTGCAGCCTACCGGGATCCTCTGTGCGTGGGATTCTCCAGGCGAGACTACTGGAGTGGGTGGCCATGCCCGCCTCCAGGGGATCTTCCCCACCCAGGGATGGAAATCAGGTCTCCTGCAACTGCTTCATTTCCTGGCAGATTCTTTGCCATTGAGCCCCCGGGAAAGTCCCAGCCCCCAGTACACACAGGTCAGCTTCTGGCCTTCGTCACGCCCAGCCGAGGGGGCAGAGAGGCGTGCTCTGCCCTACGCAGTCATCCGATGACCCAGGATTCCTGCCATTCCTCTGCTCCATCCCCTTCCAAGGCGGTTCCTCGAGAAACAATTTCGGCTTCCACGCTGAAGCCACCTGATGTCGCCCGTGACGCGTTGAGTTATCTCCTGCCCCCTGGGATGGTCTTCACCATGTGCCATCCGGGGAAGAGTCGAGAAGAGCCACTTGCATGGTTTTCTGTGGGGTTTGTCTTCCTGTGGCATTCCAGCTGAAATCAGAAGAGGTCCTCAGGGGACGGGACCATCACCAGACCTGCGGGGACCCCGGGGGAGGAAAACTCTCTGCCACCTGACCACCCAGTCTGAGTCGGTGATGCCATCCGCCCATCCCATCCTCTGTCGTCCCCTTCTCCTCCCGTCTTCAGTCTTTCCCAGCATCAGGGTCTTTTCCAGTGAGTCAGCTCTTCGCATCAGGTGGCAAAGGATTGGAGCTTCAGCTTCAGCATCAGTCCTTCCAGTGAATATTCAGAGGTGATTTCCTTCAGGATGGACCGGTTTGAACCTCCTTGACCTGCTTCTAGCTCAGCTGTATTTGCACCCGTGGAGGCAGGCGAACACAGATGAGGCATTTTTAGTTATCTGCCTGAAGCGTTGTCCTAACTTTGCTTTCACTTTTTTTTTTTTTAGACGATAGGTTGGCCAGAAATAGAGACTTGTGCTGAAGTGCGACGTGACCCGTTGTCAACACCTTCCCCCCAGTTTGCAGACCTCACAGAGATCCAAAGCTGTTCGGTATCACTCACCTTTTTGTTTTCTTAATGGCTGCGCCATGCAACAGAGGGGATCTGAGTTCCCTCACCAGGGATGGAACCCACATCGCCCGCAGCGGCGGACTTCTTACACAACGCCTGTGTCGGCTAGCCACCAAAGGAGACACCCCATGTGTTTCTCCTCTATCCCGTGACATTTCTGAATGGTTTCCCCGCGTTGTGTTGTTCATGAACCACTTTACTTTCCAGGTGGATAAGACACCTGGGTTTTTGCCCGCCTAAATCCCTGAGTTTCCCTTCTATCTTGCTTTAGGAAGGAATAGAAAACTATTAGACGCTCAGTCGTGTCCCTGACTCTTTGCAGCCCCGTGGACTGTAGCCCGCCAGACTCCTCTGTCCATGGGATTCTCCAGGCAAGAATACTGGAGTGGCTTGCCGTGCCCACCTCCAGGGGATCTTCCCGACCCGGGGATCGAACCCGAGTCTTTTATGTCTCCTGCGTTGGCAGGCAGATTCTTTACCCCTGAGCCAGCAGGGAAGGCCATACATATACATGTATCTATTCTCTTTCAGATTCTTTTGCCAGGTAGGTCATTACAGAGTGTTGAGCAGAGTTCCCTGAGCTGTCCAGCGGGTCCTTGCTGGTTCTCCTTGTTAAGTACGGCCGTGTGTCCATGTCCATCCCAAACCACCTGACTGTCCCTTCCCCCATCCTTCCCCCTGGTGACCATCAGGTTATTACAGAGTATTGAGCAGAGTTCCCTGTGCTGGACAGCAGGTCCTTGTTAGTTATCTATTTTATATATAGCATCAATAGTGTATATATGTCAGTCCCGATCTTGTCCTTTGAAAAGTTAACCCTTACATCACATGACAAATGTCAGCATCTCGTCTTGTGCAGAAAGTAACAGGAAAGTTCAGAGTAGTAAATCACACCAAATGACTTCAAAAAAATTTTTGTTTGTTTGTTTGTTTATTATTTTGACTGTGCTGAGCAGCGTGTGAGATTTTAGTTTCCCCATCAGAAATTGAGCCAGGGCCCTCGGCAGTGAAAAGGAGGCATTCCAATCAGTGGACCAGGGCTCAATGGGTAAAGAATCCGCCTGCAATGCAAGAGACCTGGTTTGGATCCCTGACATGGGAAGAGCCCCTGGAGAAGGAAATGGCAACCCACTCCAGTATTCTCGCCTGGAGAATCCCATGGACAGAGGAGCCTGGCGGGCTACAGTCCACGGGGTCGCAGAGAGGAGGACACGACTGAGAGACTAAACCACTGCTATACCACCCACTGGACCACTGGGGGGCAGGGGTCCCCGTAAATGGCTTTTTCTTTTTTTTGCACGACCCATTTGTTTGATCCTAAAGAGAAAGAGTTCTCTGTCGTTCTGGTTCTGGGAAGCCCCCTGCAGACTAACGATGCAACAATTCTGTTTCCAGCGGCGGGCGGAGAACACCGCAGGTGCCCCACCCGAGGACACCTTGGAACCGAGCCGGGAGCTCCCTGCGGATGTCAGCAGGGACCCCAGTCCCCAGGACGCTCTAGAGGTGGTGTCCCCTGTCCCAATCATTCACCTCTCCCAGCTCCCGTGATGGGCGCTGTGGGCTCTTGCAGCGGCCAGCTGTGTCCACGCATGGGTGTTACCTCGATTTCAACCTTGCTTGTTGAGATGAGAACTTTCATTCTCCCGCTGTCTCAGATTCACCTGGCTTCTCTCTGGCCTTTGCCCTTGGCGGTCGGTCCACCCACTTTCCTGTCCTCAGCTCTGATCATCACGCCTGTTTTCTCTTGCAACGCTGTTCTGCAGAGTTTAATTGACCTGAAGGGGCTGGGCTGTGTTTTCTGCACCCTGAGCTTGGGAGATGATGCACAGATGTAAAACCTGGGAAACTGGAGCGGCGGGCGGGGAGATGTTTTGATCCTAACCCAGCATGCATTGATTTCTTCTTGCAGAAGAACATGAAAGATGCTTTCCTGCTAAGACCACCTTTTACAGGTGCTCTGGTCTTAAATTTCAGGCTCTGTGATGATGCATTTAAGCAAGTTGATGGCTCATGTTTCTAGCTATGATGTAATAACACTTCTTGTTGTCGTTGTTGCTGTTCACTCGCTAAGTCGTGTCCATGGACTGCAGCCCGCCAGGGGTTTCCCTAGAGTGACAATAGTGAAAAACAGGGGTGTCCTTCACCATCTCCCAGACTTTGCTCAAACCCATGTCCATCGAGTCAGTGATGCCACCCAACCATCTCATCCTCTGTCGTCCCCTTCTCCTCCTGCCTTCAATCATTCCCAGCATCAGGGTCTTTTCCAATGAGTCGGCTCTTTGCATCAGGTGGCCAGAGTATTGGAGCTTCAGCTTCAGCATCAGTCATTCCAGTGGATATTCAGGGTTGATATTAGTCGGAGCAAATATAGCCCAAGAGCTGACTGCTGGGCGGAGGATAAAATTGGTATTGACGTTTTCTCAATTGTGCCTTGGTTTGTGGAGGCCGCTGTAACGAAAAAAGAGCACAGTCTGGGTGGCTCCCGAATAACACGAAGTGTTACTTCTCACAGCTCTGGAGGTTGGGTGTCCCAGTTTCAGGCACCGGCAGGTCTGGGGTCTGGTGAGAACCCCCTCTTCCTGGCTCACAAGCATCTGCCTGTGGGTTTGTCTTTCCCCCAGGTGGACCTGACCATTTCCGTCTCCCAGATCTCCATCGAAGAGAAGCCCAAGGTCCCGAGCCCCGAGGAGGAGCGGAGAAAGTGGGAGGAGGGACGGATGGATTACCTGGGGAAGGACGCCTTCGCCCGCATTCAGGAAAAGCTGGACCGCTTCCTCCAGTGACCGCGCCGTTCGGGTGAGCGGTCCTGTTCCGTCCGCATCCAAAGCCCTTTCCGAGGAGGAGCTCTTCACCACGTGCCTGCTTACGGTCGATCCACCTGAGTGCCTTCTGCCCGCCTCCGTGGTGCACCCGAAACCCAGCTCGAAGCCCCGCATGACCCCAGGTCCCCACGCCTCTGGAGCTTCCCCGGGGAGGTCCCGTCTCCTTTATGCCTTGCTGGCAAATCCCTGCAGATGGCGACTGCAGCCATGAAATTAAAAAACACTTGCTCCTTGGAAGAAAAGCTATGACCAACCTAGACAGCGTATTAAAAAGCAGAAACATCACTTTGCCCACAAAGGTCCGTCTAAGTCAAAGCTACGGTTTTTCCAGTGGTCACGTATGGATGTGAGAGTTGGACGATAAAGAAAGGTGAGCGCCGAAGAATGGATGCTTTTGAACTGTGGTGTTGGAGAAGACTCTTGAGAGTCCCTTGGACTGTAAGGAGATCCAACCAGTCCATCCTAAAGGAAATCAGTCCTGAATATTCTTTGGAAGCACTGATGCTGAAGCTGAAACTCCAATCCTTTAGCCATGTGATGCAAAGAACAGACTTATTGGAAAAGACCCTGATGCTGGGAAAGATTAAAGGCAGGAGGAGAAGGAGGCACCAGAGAATGAGATGGTCGGATGGCATCACCGACTCGATGGACATGAGTTTGAACAAACTCGGGGAGATGGTGAAGGACAGGGAAGCCTGGCGTGCTGCGGTCCATGGATTGGCAAAGAGTCGGATACAACTTAGCAACTGACCACCACCACCAACAGCCAAAGGGAACATGAGGATAGCCTTCTGGTCAATCCTGGGTCTCTGGACTTGCTTGAAGGAGCTCAAGATTTTCTCCTGGACAGATGAGACCACGTCCGTCCTATGTAGGGTTAGCTTGAAGCATTGCAGATCTTCAAACACATAGCACTCAGGAAGGTATTAAGCTCCCTGAGAATCTTCCAGAATGATTAAGTCCTTTTCTTGAAGACTGGGTCAACGTTCGTATGTTGACTGTGACTGTGGTGTGAATTTTGCCAAGGGTGGCTGACAGACACCACGGCTGTGCTTTCTCTTCTGCAGAAATACCCAGGGGGACTTCAAGGTGTGTTGACACAGTCTGCGTGGGGACACGTCAGAAATATTTGGAAGGAGATTCTAGCTGGCTTGGGAGAGACGACCTCTTCCAAACTGGTTTACCTACTGGTGTAGAAGACATCCCAGGTGGTGCTAGTGGTAAAGAACCCGCCTGCTAACGCAGGAGATGACGGGTTCGATCCCTGGGTGGGGAAGATCCCCTGGAGAAGGAAATGGCAACCCACTCCAGTTTTTTTGTTTTTTTTCATTTTGAACTTTTTATTTTGTATTGGGATGTAGCCAATCAATGTTGTGAGGGTTTCAGGTGGATGGTGAAGGGACTCAGCCAGACACAGACATGTATCCATTCTCCCCCAAACTCCCCTCCCATCCAGGCTGCCACGTTACACTGAGCACGTAGGAATAAGCACCCAGGGTTTACACCCAAGGGTGTCCGCTGGTCACGTGCTCACGGCGACTGGATGCGGGCGGGCTGTTTCTCTGGAGGCGAATCCGTGAGGGCCTGAGGACATGGGGCTGCCTTCTGCTGGGTCTCACTACCTCACTTCACAGCATGCACTCGCGGCCCTCGGTGAGCCCCGCTGCAGCTCAGCTATGTGGGGACAGTCCTCTGTTTTGTGACCCTGGACGCCGTGATTCCACCGGAGAGCCTTACTTCAGAAGCATCCTAGTGCTGGGAATGAATGCAGTGTTTCAGACCCTCTGGTAGGGGTCCGTGTGGGTGGCCACCACATGGGTAATTAAAGCCAGATGTCAGCTGCCGTCCTGAGGAGGAGGAGGTGCTGGCCACCACAGAGATAATCGAAACTGGACATGGTCGCCGCAGTAAAGACAAGATGCAGGTTTTAAATGGTTGAGTGGTCTATTTATCGCTTCCCCAGGTGCCTCAATGGTAAAGGATCTGCCTGCCAATGCAGGCAGTCTCAGGTTCGATCCCTGGCTCGGGAATATCCCTGGGAGGAGGAAATGGCAACCCACTACGGTGTTCTTGCCTGGAGAACCCCATGGACAGAGGAGCCTGGGGGGTTACCGTCCATGGGGTTGCAAAGAGTCAGACACAACTGAGTCTTCAGACACAACACGTACTGTTGAAAGTCATCACATGGATTTGGAAGAAGGTTGAGATGGCTTTGTTCCAATCCACGTGGGATCCGAGTGGACTTCTGGGGTTTGTTGTGGTGTTTGCGGTGAGAGGCGCGTGCTACGGGGGGGCTTTTATTTTTTATCTGTGGGTGAATGACCTGGCGTCTTGGTTGGTTTCATACCTATGATGCTTCAGTTCAGGGGCTACTAGGAAAGAGCCGTGGGGACAAACTCCTTGGGTGGGTCGGGTGGGGGGTGGGGGTGGGGGTTGCCACCCATCAGAGTAATCCCTTGGGTTTGTTTTGGGGAAACATGATGTTGGACTATAACATACAAAAGGCGGATTCTAGGTCCACGAGAAGAGAACTCCGGAGGGTGGACATCGGAGTCCAGCTTCTCCAAAGAGGACTCTCCATGTGAATGGTCCGACGGCTCACTGGCTTCAAGTCTAGGCTCAACTCAGACCTCTCTCCCGCATTATGAGGTCTGTCCTCACGTCTGGATGAAGGCCAGCACATTGCAATTAAAATCTTAGGGTGGCAATGCGGTCTCGTTCTTGGGCTTTTGAATGTGTTCTGAGTCTTCAGAATGCCATTGATAGGAATGTGACTGGCTTCATTTGTCTTTCTATTAATTAAAATAACCAAATGGGTTTTTCAGAATTGATAGTAACCTACATGGGAAGGAAATCCAAAAAAAAAAAAACCAAACAGGGGATACATGTGTTTGTTGCTGAGTCACAAAGTCGTCTCTGACTCTTTGTGACCCCATGGACCGCAGCACTCCAGACTTCCCTGTCCTTCACCATCTCCCGGAGTTTGCTTCAACTCGTGTCCGTTGAGTCGGTGATGCCATCCGACCATCTCCTCCTCTGTCGTCCCCTTCTCCTCCCGCCTTCAATCTTTCGCAGCATCAGGGTCTTTTCCGGTGAGTCAGCTTTTCCCATCAGGCGGCCAAGGGACTGGAGTTTCAGCTTCAGCATCAGTCCTCCCCGTGAATATCCAGGGTTGATTTCCTTTAGGATGGACTGGTTGGATCTCCCTGCAGTCCAATGGACTCGTATAGCTGATTCACTTTGCTGTTCGGCAGAAAGTAACACAACGTTGTAAAGCAACAAAACACCGAAAATAAACTTTTTTTAACTTAAAAAAAAAGGGAAACCTAGCAGTGGGCTGACCCAAGAATAAATTGCTGATAGTAGAGACAAAGGTGGGACTTGGTGTCATGGAGACACAGCCTGTGGGTGAGGATGGAACTCAGAACACAGAACAAGGTGAACTCACGTACAGCAGGCTGATCAAAGCGAATGATAAGAGTATTATATACTGAGGAGTTGCTGAGAGAGCCGATTTTAAAATTTCTCATCGCCAGAGAGAAAGGGTAGCTGGTAACGATGGAGGTGTCAGCTAGCGTTTGGTGGTGACCATTTGGTGACATGACGTGGGATTCTCCAGGCAAGAGTACTGGAGTGGGTTGCCACGTCCTCCTCCAGGAGATGTTTCTGACCCAGGGATCGAACCCACGTCTCCTGAATTGGCAGGCGGACTCCTTACCAGTAGCGCCACCCATTTATACATACTTGAGATCTTTGTGTTGCGACCATAAATTTACACCGCGGAGTATGTCAGTGACACCTCTGTGAATCTGGGGAAAAGGAACTTCCCCGGTGGTCCACCGGTTAAAACTCCTCTCTTCCGCTGAAGGGAGGTGTGGGTTCAGTGTCTGGTTGGGGAATTAAGATCCCCCATGTTGCAGGGCACGGCCAAAAACATAAATAAAGCTGACTGAAGAAAGAAAAAAAAGTCACACATCTTTTTCTCTAGCAGGTCCCCCACCATGGTTGAACTCGTGAACTCCTGTCTGCCACATGCATGCACAGATTTCCTGGTGGGGCTAGTTAATAACTCTGACAGCCTATTGCTGCTTGTCATATCAAATAATATCTCTGGAAGGCCACTCCTTGGTATCAACAAAGGCTCACAAATATTTCTCTGGCCGGGTGGTTTGTAGCAAATGTTGAAAGACGTGCCCTTTTAAAGTGATTTCTCAAGGACATTTTTACCCTCCCCCACGACCTTTCCTTTCCAGTTCTTGGAATGACTCATGTACTAATTCATCCAAGAACTATTTTTTGGTTATTTACTGTTCAAGGAACCAGGAGTCTCTGTAAGACGTTTGTAAAAATATAACCATGGTAGCTTGAGACAGAAAAAAGAAAATGGTAGGAAAACAAATTTTGAAGAAACCCTGGTACTGGTTTGTTTTCAAAGCCTTGTATAAGGGGTGCTTAGGTAAGAGAGAAGAGGAGCGACAGGGACACAGAGGAGAAGCCGCGAGGAGACGGAGGCAGAGACGGGAGGGAGGCGGCCACCAGCCCAGGGACGGACGCCTGGAGCCCCCGGAAGCCGGAAGAGGTGGGAAGGACCCTCTCCTGGAGCCTCTGCAGGGACTCAGCCCTGGGACCCTTGACCTCAGACGTCTGGTCTCCGGGACCAGGGGAAGATGGATGTCTGTTGTTTTAAGTCCCCTGGTTTGTGGTCATTTGTTGTAATCAGTCCAGGAAACTAATACACCCACTCTCTGTAAGCCTGTCTAGATCTCAAGCTTTTCTTCAAGACCATGTCCTCCTCCAGGAAACCTTTTTATAGACTTTCCAGGCTTCAGTAGCAGTCAAAGAAAACTCCAAGTATTGCAGACTTAAGTGCGTGATGTCCTGATCATTTAATTTTCAATACCTTGAGCATGGGCTTCTATTGTTGATCTCATCAAGGCAGCAGTGGGCTTCCCCGGTGGGTCGGCGGTAAAGAATCCGCCTACAACGCAGGAGCTGCCTGAGACTTGGGTTCGACCCCGGGGTCAGGAAGATCCCTCGGAGGAGGGCATGGCAAACCACTCCAGTCTTCTTGCCTGGAGAATCCCCGTGGCCGGAGGAGCCTGGCGGGCTGCAGTCCATGGGGTGGCAGAGAGTCAGACGTGACTGACGTGACTGAGCACGCACCCAAGGCAAGCCAGATCTTAATTCCCTGCCCACGGACGGGCATGCTGGGTGAGAACCACGAATCCCAGCAAACACTCCCGCAAGGGCTACGAGGCTAGAAGCTATTTCTCCCTAGAACTTTGCCCCCAGTGAAAAATGCGTTTATCTCGGAGGCAGAAACTGTAAATGCAGGTATAAAATGAGACACAGCGTTAACAAGTGAGACAGCACAGAGAGAAATGGTTCCTTTAGGTACAACAGAAGCAAGAGAGACAGGCTTAAGGGGAGACAGAGGGTGTGGGCGTTCCCGCCTCCCAGAGAGGAGGAGCCCAGTCCCGAGGCGGTTGAGATGTTTATATAAGGCAGCTCTTCCGGGTCCTGGTCTTCCTTCAGGTCCATTACCTGCTTTCTTTTCCCACACCTGACCTGCCCCGGGACCCTCCCCTGGGGTGTACACACGCACCCCCGGGCAAGATGGACCTCGAAGTGAAGGCTTCTGGGAGCAGCAAGACTCAATATGGCCTGGCGTGGCCTGCTGACTCTGGACCCTCCTCAAGGAGAGCGCGCGCAGTGTTTCGCTTGTCCCCAGAGGGGCGAACGGAGGTCCCTTAAGCCTTCAGTCACACGGGGTTTTGTGGCTCTGTGCCCTTGCCTCGACCCTTCCCTTGAGATGGTTACCAGAGACAAACGCTGGCGAGTTGCCCTGTTTCTGAGGCCGATGGTACATCCCTCCACCGGAGCCCGGCCTATCTCATCATCTCGGGAGATGCGCACCGCACGCTGGTTTTAAGCTTCCAGCCTGAAGCCCACGTCTTCCGGGCCCCACGAAATGCACCCCAGGAGGCCAGTCGTACACGTCTAACCCGGAGACCACCCACCTGCGACATCACTGTTCCCCGCACACGAAGGCAAGGGTCCGCCCAAGCGCAGAGGCACGGCCACAGAGAAAGGACAGCCTTTTCCACAAACAGTGCTGAGACCCTTGCACACCCGTAAGCAGAAAGATGCATGTTGACAGACCTCTCGGAATTCCTGTGCTGTGTGCTTATATACAGAACGGACTCATCGGAAAAGACCCCGATGCTGGGAAAGATTGAGGGCGGGAGGAGAAGGGGACGACAGAGGAGGAGATGGTTGGGTGGCATCCCCGACTCGATGGACAGGAGTTTGAGCAAGCTCCGGGAGTTGGTGATGGGCAGGGAGGCCTGGCAGGCTGCAGTCCATGGGGTCACAGAGAGTGGGACAAGACCGAGGGACTGAACTGAACACATACACATGCCCGTTACCACTGGAGGTACGTGTACACAGACACACACACACACACACACGCACACACACGAGCACGCACGCGCAGACGCCAGAGGGGAGGGGCCGGCCACGCCTCCCTAAGTCATTTCTGGTGCAGGGCCTGCCTAACCGGTTGGGCCAGTTGTTAACCATGGAAACTCTTAAGAAGCAGACTCTGGGGTCCTCGGGGACACTCGTGAACTTTGACCTGATCCTAGTAAATCCCCTTGCCCAGAGTTGAAAGACCAGACTTACAGGCGCCCCGGAGACAAAGATCGAGTTTGTTCAGTTCAGCCGTGCATCAGCTCCGTGCCCCAAGTCCCGGCTGATGCCTCCCAGCTTTCCACACTCCTGGAGCTCAAGGCTGTTTTTCTTTGCACTTGGGGTCTGCAGGGGAAGGCCCCTTCTCCTGGGGGGGGGGGTCTTTCCCCGCTTTCCCGCCCGCCAGGCACCCATCTGCTGAGAAAACGCTCATTTATTCTCAGAATCAGTTTTACGACCGATTACCACGGAAATGCGTAACATTTAAAAGGTCTGACTCAAAATGAATGCCATTCACGAGGAGTGCGTCAGAAAGTTGTAACGGAGGAAAAGAAGAAAAAGACCCAAAGAAGGTGAAAATGCATAAACTTAAAAAAATGTTTTTGTTTTTTTTAAGAAATACAGGAGTTCCTGGTGGTGCAGTGGTTAACATCGCTGGTTGGGGAGCTAAGATTGTCACTTGCCTCGGGGTCAAACAACCAAAACAAAACAGAAGCAGTACTGGAACAAATTCAATAAAAACCTTAAAAAAATGGTCCACTTAAAAAAAAAAATACAATGTTCAAGGAAGCCAAGCGGAACCTCTAAATTAGAAGCATTCCTGTTTGAATCGCTGGCTTTATAGGTGGCATGAAAGTTTGCAGGTTTTCAACCAGGAACTACTTATCCATGTTATACTTGGAGGTATGTCCAGTGTCTCCCCATCACCACCCCCTTCCCCAGTGTGTGACACACAGCAGTCTGCTCTCTGCATCTGTAACTTTATTGTTTTCAATTCCACACAGATGTGAGAGCATAAGATAGTTGTGTTTCTCTGCCCAACTTACTCCACTTAGCATAATGCCCTCAAGGTTCACCTGTTGTCTGCTCAGTCGCTCAGCTGTCTCTCTTTGCGACCCCATGGACTGTAGCCCACCAGGCCCCTCTGTCCGTGGGATTCTCCAGGCAAGGATACTGGAGTGGGTTGCCATGCCCTCCTCCAGGGGGTCTTCCCCACCCAGGGACTGAACTCAGCTCTCCCACATAGCAGGCAGAGCCAGGGAAGCCCGTTGCTGCAAGTGACAAGATTTCTTTTTTATGGCCAAGTAATATTCGTGTGTGTGTGTGTGTGTGTGTGTGTGTGTGTGTGTATGGGTTTCCTTGCTGACTCACTGGTAAAGAACTTGCCTGCCAACGCAGGACACCCAGGTTTGATCCCTGGGTCGGGAAGATTCTCTGGAGAAGGAAATGGCAACCCACTCCAGTATTCTTAGCTGGAGAATCCCATGGACAGAAAAGCCTGGTGGGCTACAGTCCATGGGGTCACAAAGAGCATGACCATGTGTGTGTACATATATTTTTCTGTATTCATTCATCCATCGATAACACACTTGGGTTGTTACCTTGTCTTGGCTATTGTGAATAGCACTGCCGTGAACACAGAGGTGCAAGTAAGTCTTCAATATCCTGATTTCATCTCCTGCAGACAAATAGTCAGGGCTTCCCTGGGGGCTCAGTTGTAAAGAATCTGCCTGCAATGCAGGAGACTCCAGTTCACTCTCTGGGTCAGGAAGATCCCCTGGAGGAGGAAATGGCGACCCACTACAGTATTATTGCCTAGAGAATCCCATGGACAGAGGAGCCTGGAGGGCTGCAGTCCATGGGGTCGCATAGAATTGGACATGACCGAGCGACTCTCTCTCACACACGCACACGTGCTCACTCCGGGCTGGGATTGCTTCATCCTAGGGTAGTTCCATTTTTTGGTGGTTGGAGGACTCTCCAGCCTGCTGTCCCAAGCGGCTGCTCCAGTTTTCCGCCCCCGACAGCACACAGGGGTCCTGTTTTCCCTGCCTCCTCGCCCACCCCGTGCCCTGACCTTGAGAGCATGGAGGTCAGGTCTCCCCAGGGTCTGCGTCCCGGGAGCACGCGCAGAACGGGAAGGCCCCGCAGCAGGGCTGCAGCCACGGCTTCCAGGCCACGTGGTGGAAGGAGAACTGCGCAGGCGCCGGGCTCCCGGACCCGCGGTGCTCCCGGACCGCCCGGCCCACGCGGGCCACCGCCTCGCGGTACAGGGGCCCGGCGTCGGGGGACAGGGGCCGGGCCTCGGACGGGTCCCTGGACAGGTCGAAGAGCAGGGGCGGGTCGTGGTGGGTCACGCCGGCCCCCGAGCAGGGGCACACGCCGCGGCCGTGGCAGGCCCCCGCGCCCTCGGGGTGGAAGCGGGGCGTGGTGTAATGGACCTTCCAGAGCCTTCCGCCTACGGGCAAACGGAGACGGTCCCCCATCAGCTGCGCGGACACCTGGCTTTCTCATCGCTCGTATTTCTGTCTTGGTGTGTGTCAGCTGTCAGCCATCTGTCATCTATCTGTATCTTTTCCTCTATATGCAGCTGTGTCCTCTATATACAGCTGTGTCTGACTCTTTGTGACCCTGCCAGGCTCCTCTGTCCATTGGATTCTCCAGGCAAGGATACTGGAGTGGGTTGCCATGTCCTCCTCCAGGGGATCTTCCCGACCCAGGAATTGAACCCAGGTCTCCTACATTGCCAGGCAGGTTCTTTACCATCTGAGCTACAGGGAAGTCCCTGTACATGTATCTAAACTATTTATTATCTACCTATTCATCTATTATCTGTGTATATCTATTTCTCTATCCACCTATCACATCATCTTTTTCATCTATTACGTATCTATTTACCAACCACCATCCATCTATCTATCCATCCATCCATCCATCCATCAACCCACCTATATCCATCCATTATCCATGTATCCATCCCTTATCCATCCCTCTATGCACCCATCCATCCACCCATTCATCTATTAATCTGTCCACTCATCCATCTACCCATCCACAGATCCACCCATCCATCCATCATACATATCCATTCATCTATCCACCCACCTATCCATCCACCCACCCATCTATCTACCCATTCATCCATCAGTCTATCTATCCATCCATCCATCCACCCACCTATCCACCCATCCATCCACCCACCTATCCATCCATCATCTGTGTATCCATCCCTTATCCATCCCTCTCCACATCCATTCATCATCCATCAACCCATCCACCCATCCGTCATCTATGTATCGATTCATCCATCCATCATCCACCCATCCACCCACCCATCTACCCATTCATCCATCAGTCTATCTATCCATCCATCCACCCACCATCCATATACCCATCAATCCATCCATCCATCATCCATCCATCCACCCATTCATCTACTAATCTGCCCATCCACTCATCCATCTACCCATCCACACATCCATCCATCATCCATCCACCCATCAATCTATCCATGCATCCATCCAGCCATCATCTACATATCTTTTCATCTATTCACCCACCTATCCATCAATCTATCCATCCATCATTCATCCATCCATCCATCGATATATCCATCTGTCCATCCATCATCAACATATCCATTCATCTATCCACCCACCCATCCATCAATCTATCCATCTATCATCTATGTATTCATCCATCCACCCATTAACATCAACCATTTATCCACCCACCCATCTATCCGCCCGTTTACCCATCAGTCTATCCATCCACCCATCATCCATCAGTCTATCCATCTATCTATTCACCCACTCATCCATCTATCCATCCATCATCAACATATCCATTCATCTATCCACCCACCCATCCATCAATCAATCCATCCATCATCTATGTATTCATCCATCCATGATCCATCAACCCATCCATCCATTCACCCATGCATCTATCTACCCATCTCTCTATCCACCCATTCATCCATCAGTCTATCCATCCATCCATCTATCAACTATGAGTCCATCCATCCATCATCTATCCATCCATCCACCCATCCACCCGGACACCCACACATCCTCTGGGTTCCATTTCTCTGGAGGACCCTGACTAAGACCAGCACCTGCCAAGGCGTGGGGAGGCGTGTACTCACTGTCCTTCTCGTGCCAGCGGGCGGCGTGGAGATACTGCCCGCAGTAATGAAACAGGAACTCGTGTGCCGAGTGCTCAGCATCTCCCCGCAGCAGGGGCAGCAGGCTCCGGCCGTCAATCACCCTGATTCAGGGAAGAGACCACAGGAGGGACTGAGACTGAGGTTGTGTGGGCAGCATTGTGGACCTGGGACCTTCGAAACCCCAAGGCTGCCAGGACCCCAGATAACACACAGTGGATCAGACATGCCCCGTCTCTCCGAGGCTGCCCAGGTTGCACATAGCACGTCATAAACAGAAGACACACAGACACACCCAGACACAACAACACACACCACGCTGACTGCAGATATTAACACCAAGTCTTCTTAAATTCCAGCTGGGCTGCCGTGCCCCTAGGCTGAAAAGTCTAGGGGAACAGAAACCTTTTATTTATATTTTTCATTTTATGTATGTATTTTTGAATTTTTATTTTCTACTGGAGTATAGTTGATGAACAACATTGTGATAGTTGCAGGTATATGGCAAAGTGAATCAGTGATATGTAAGGCATGTATGTATTCTTTTTCAAATTCTTTCCCTATTTAGGTGATTACAGAGCATTAAGCAGAGTTCCCTGTGCAGTACAGCCAGGCCCTGTTGGTTATCTGTTTTATATATAATAGGTGAGGTGAACATCTACAGTCAGCAAGGCTTTGAGTAAAGCAGATTGCCCTGGGTTTAGGAGAGTGAGCCTGGTCCGATCAGTTGAAGGCTGTCAAAAACAAATCTGAGGTTTGCTGGAGAAGAGAAAACTCTCCCCCAACACAATGATACAGAAATTCTCCTGAGTTTGCACCTTACAGCCTTCCCAACATCAAATTTTAATTTTCCAGTCTCTACCACTGCATGAGCCAATACCTTATGATAAATGTCTTATTTCGACCCCATGGACTGAAGCCCACCAGTGTCCTCTGTCCATGGGATTCTCCAGGCGAGAATACTGGATGGGTTGCCATGTCCTCCTCGAGGGGATCTTCCCAACCCAGAGATCGAACCTGGGTCTCCTGCATTGCAGACAGGCACTCCTTACCATCTGAGCCACTAGCAGAGCCCTTACTACTTACACACACACACACACACACACACACACACACACACACACACAAGTATGTTGGCTCTCTCTCCAGAGAAATCTGCTGAACTAAAAATACTACTAAACTAAAAAATTAATAAGATGGCTTTTTTAGGGGGGCAGTAAGAACTAGGGGATAAAGTACCTTATATTATTATCCGTCATACACAAATATTTATTGGTTATTTTTTTTTCAGGTTTTTTTTGGGGGGGAGGGGGTGACTGGTAGAATCCTTGTTCTCCAAGCAGAGACTGAACCCATACCCTCTGTGAGTGGAAACGTGGATTCCTAACCATTGGAGCTCTAGGCAAGTCCTTTATTGGTTATCCTAAACGAAGTAAAATCCAATCTTGTATCAAAATATTTACTTCTAAGAAAAAAACAACATATTGACTTCTATTTTGTCTCATGTACGAGAGGGGCTTTTTGGGTGTGTATCGAGGTACATTATCATTTTTAAATCGTATTTTCAAGGAACTTCCCTGGTGGTCCAGCAAGGTTAAGACTCTGAACTTGCAGTGTAGCGGGGGGCACAGGTTTGATCCCTGGTCGGGGAACTAAGATCCCACCTGCTGTGTGGCACAGCCTAAAAATTATATAAAATAAACTTTTTTTTTTCAAATTTAAATTTTCATAGCTGCACCAACTTGTGGGCAAGATTGCATTTCAGAAGATTAATAACAGATGTCACATTCTGATGACTGGATCTCTGGATTGTGATGCCGAAATGTAAACTTTTGCCAAAAAAAAATTACAACAAGTCACTGGACCCAATAGTTCACTTAGCCTTGTTTTCCAGGGTGTGGTCATTTCACATCAGCCTGTCCCCTACATGGGAGACTGTTTTAAATGCTCTCCTATTGTAGAATGTTTTCCCCTAAAATATGGACAAGGGAAGGGGGCTCTCTCAGGACGCAGGGAGGAGTGTACCTGTCCTGGGGCACCTGGCCGCCCGCCAGATGCACCACGGTGGGGAAGACATCCATCAGGCTGGTGGGCTCATGGACCACGCGGCCGGCCGGCAGGACGCCGGGCCACCGGAATATCCCAGGGACCCGAATCCCGCCTTCCCAGCCGGCCATGCCTTTGCCACCTGGAAGGGAAGGATGCCATTGCGTTCTCAGGAGATGCTCCAGCCTAGGCACACACCCGGACGTACCTGTGTGTGTCTGTATCCAGTGTGTGCACTCAGTCGCTCCGTGCTGTCCGACTCTTTGCCCCCCCATCGCTGGAGCCCACGGGCGCTAGTGGTAAAGCACCCATCTGCCAATGCAGGGGATGTAGGAGACGCTGGTTTGATCCCTGGGTTGGGAAGATCCCCTGGAGGAGGGCAAGGCAACCCGCTCCAGTATTCTCGCCTGGAGAATCCCATGGACAGAGGAGCCTGACGGGCTACAGTCGACGGGGTTGCAAAGAGTCAGACATGACTGAGCGCTGAGCACGCAAACATGGACTGTAGCCCATGAGGCTCCTCTCTCCATGGGATTCTCCAGGCGAGAATACTGCAGTGGGTTGCCATTTCCTTCTTCAGAATAATTCAGATGGACTGTATCAAATTTTATCTTATTCATTTTATTTCTAAAAGTTTTTTTGGCCATGCTGACAGGCACGTGGGATCTTAGATCCCTGACCAAGGATCAAACCCGTGCCCCTGCAATGGAAGTGCAGAGTCTTAACCAGTGGACCACCAGGGAAGTCTCTCACGTCAGATATTTAAAAGTTCCAATGTAAAGAGGTTTTACCCTGGAACCTCAATGCCCGGGGGCCTTACCTCTGTATATTCCGTTCCACCCGCCCAGCTGGACATGTCCGTCTCTTGCCTCTAAGTGTCCCCCGTGATCAGAGGTGAAGTACGTGAGAGTCGTGTTTTTCAGACCGTGTTCTTCAACGGCATTCAGAATCTCCCCTTTGGGAAAGACGGAGCATTTCAGGGCGACAGAAATGAAACAGCATCTGAGAATTCAACACGATGTCTCCTTTCTGCGGGTTTCCCAGGTGGCTCAGTGGTAGAAGAACCCACCCGCCTGTCAATGCAGGCGATGCAGGTTCAATCCCTGAGTTGGGGAGATCTCCTGGAGGAGGGCATGATAACCCACTAAGAATCCCATGGACACAGGAACCTGACAGACTGAAGTCCACGGGGCTGCAAAGAGTCAGACACGACTGAGAGACTAAAACTTAATTTTCAAGCTCTTTATAGAGTGTACTACAATATGGTTTCTGTTTCATGTTTGGTTTTTTGGCCACGAGGCATGTGGGATCTTAACTCGCCGATCAGGGATTGAACCCACATCCCCTGCGTTGGAAGGTGAAGTCGTCACCACTGAACCACCAGGGAAGTCCTGGCGTGACAGCGTTCAATCACAGACTTTAGAAGGACGCCGTTGTGCAAAAGTAGACAAAAGAAATCAGAAACGCAGAAGGAGTCTGTGGATGATATGGGAGAATCATCCTCTTTGTCTTTGATTCTTTACTGAAGGCTGGCTCCTGGGGAGGTCCCCTACCTGTCACCCCGCCATCAAGGGAAGGCCGGGAACTAATGAAGCCTGGCCGTGGGCTGACTCACCCACGAGCCAGTCCATCTCCTCCACGTTGTCGCCATACAAGCCGTGCTGACTTTTCCCAAGGAACCTTTCTGTGGTCACCAGGGGGATATGGACATGCAGCAGAGACACGAAGAGCAGGAATGGACTATGCTTATTTCTGAAAGAGGAGAAGACATCCTTTGGTTATAAGAGCATCTCTTTGATCCAGGACTTAAAAGTAGAGACTGAAGCCTCGTGGGCATCAAGTAGTTAACATCTTCCATTTGCTGGGGGTTTTAGCATCTGTAAAACAACTGAAGAAATCTGCATCAGATACTATGATCTACATACTTCAGACAGGAACTGGGGCAGAGGACAGGGGTCGGGGTCTGTCTCAGGAATGCCCCAGAGGGTCATGTCAGCTACATTTCCGTATCAGCACACACAGTCCCCTTACTCTTGTAAGTTGCTGTGCAGTATTCTAGACATCCCAAGTGGCTCAGTGGTAAAGAATCCAGCTGCCAGTGCAGGAGACCCAGGTTCAATCCCTGAATCAGGAAGATCCCCTCAAGGAGGACATGGCAACCCACTCCAGTATTCTTGCCTGGACAATCCCGTGGACAGAGGAGTCTGGCAGGCTATAGTCCGTGGGGTTGCAAAGAACATGAGCATGTGTGTATATATATATTTTCTTTATCCTTTCATCCATCAGTAAGACACTTAGGCTGTTTCCATGTCTTGGCTATTGTGAAGAGTGCCGCAGTGAACATAAAGGTCCAGATATTTGTTCAATGTTCTGATTTCATCTCCTTCAGCCAAATATGCAGGGGCTTCCCAAGTGTCGCTAGTGTTACCAGAATCAGCTTGCCAATGCAAGAGACCCGGGTTCATATCCCTGGGTTGGGAAGATCCCCTTGGAAAAGGAAATGGCAACCCACTCCAGTATGCTTGCCTGGAGAATCTCATGGACAGAGGAGCCTGGCGGGCCACAGACCACAGAGGTCGCCAAGAGTCGGACACAACCGAGCGACTGAGCATGCACACAGAGAACGTTTATATTAATAAAAACACAACAGAGCCAAAAAAAGAAAGAAGAGACTGGAGTTTTGAAAACCAATCCATGTGTAACTGCTGAAGTCTTCAAATCCACCTGCTCATTTCAACCCACTCCAGTCTTCTTGCCCGGAGAATCCCATTGACAGAGGAGCCTGGTGGGCTACAGTCCACGGGGTCACAGAGAGTTGTACATGACTGAGTGACTAAGACACACACACACACATATATGCCTGCTCGTAGAGCTGGCAGATTCCCACCGGTGGTAAAGAGACCCAGATGCACCGAGAACTCACCTCCGATTTCCAAGGGGACGGCGCCATTACCTTGCAATAAAGGAAACGGCTTCCTTGAGCACGAGGCTCGCGGCTCTTTCCAAAACCATGGGCTGCTCCGTGACTTCGTGGTCTCTCATCAGGATGCAGTTCCAGCGGCGGACGAAGCCAAAGCTGGCGTACCAGGACGTGAAAAACAGCAGGACCAGAGTGGCCACACTCAAGACTAGTTTCCAGGAAACGGAGATCAGCCTGCAGGCTTTGCCGGCCACGATGGTCAACACGCCCAGGGCCATGATCTGGGTGTAAAGCCACAGCCTGGCCCTCAAGCCCGCATCCACTTCCGGGGGCCTGTCTGGGTGGCAGTCGTTGACCAGTGTGAAGGGCATGCCGTAGAAATAGTCAAAGCCATGGTGCAGAGGGTGATGGCAGTGGTCGGTGCGCGAGGCACAGTTTACACCCTGATGCCATTTTCCTGAAGACAGAAGCAAGAACTTAAAAAAAAAAAAAAGATGAAACATAAAAAAACAGTGTATGCCTAAGGGACCCAGCCTGAAATTACCTTCTGAGGGTAATTTGGAGGTTCGTCACCGACTCAGTGGCCGTGAGTTTGAGCAACTCCGGGAGATGGTGAAGGATAGGGAAGCCTGGCATGCTGCAGTCCATGGGGTCGCAAGTAGTCGGACATAACTGAGCAACTGAACACCAACACGCAAAAAGCAATAGGGGCTTCCTAGGTGTCTCAGTGTTAAAGAATCTGCCTGCCAATGCAGGAGACACAAGAGATGCGGGTTCAATCCTTGGGTTTGGGAAATCTCCTGGAATAGGAGAAGGCAACTCACTCCAGTATTCTTGCCTGGAGATCCCCATGGACAGAGGAGCCTGGTGGGCTACAGCTGCCCAAACTCCATGTGGAGAAGTGACACTTGTTCCCGTGGTCTCCCCACGACTCACAAGCTATCTTCAGAACCTCACAAGCTATCCTGGCTCCCAACCCAGGAATCTGCTCTTTTACATTTAAGGAAACAAAAACAGCAGGCTGCAGTGAAGACTGTGGAGAATAAAAACCATACAGAAGAATGCCACTTCCAAAGCTTTCCACCCTCTGATGTTTCAACACTGAGTTTTGAGATGAGGTGTGGACATTTAAACCAATATAATGTCTAGAAGATTCTGACCAGTGCCGTGAGGAAAAGATAGATTCCTCTAGCAAAGAGGCTAATGGAGAAATATTTTAAAGTTACAAGGACTCCCTGAGAAAACCATAATTGTAAAAGACTCATGCACTCCAATGTTCACTACAGCACTATTTACAATAGCCAAGACAGAAAAACAACCTAAATGTCCACTGACAGATGAATGGAGACAGATGTGGTACATATATACAATGAAATATTACTCAGCCGTAAAAAAAGAACGAATTTGAGTGACTGGTAGTGAGGGTGAATTAACCTAGAACCTGCTATACAGAGTGAAGTTAAGTCATAAAGAGAAAAGCAAATATGGTATGTTAACGGGTATGTTTGGAATTTAGAAAGAGGGAACAGGTGAACCTATTCACTGGGCAGGAATCAAGACGAGGGTGTGGAGAAAGGGCTTGTGGACACAGTAGGGGAAGGAGAGGGTGGGATGAACTGAGAGAGCAGCACTGACATCTATACACGGCCATGTGTAAACCAGACAGCTAGTGGGAAGGTGCTCTACAGTGCACGGGGCTCAGCTCGGGGCTCTGTGATGACCTAGTGGGGTGGATGCGGGGGTGGGCCGGAGGCTCAAGAGGAAGCATTCTTCATGGCTGACTGATTTCATTGTAAAGCAGAGACCAAGACAACATTGTAAAACAACTATCCTCAAAAAAAAAAAAAAAAAAAAAAGCCTAGAAAAAAAAAGAAAATAAGAATGAATGTTGTTAAAAGAAAATTACTGGGTTAAAAAAAAAAAAGACTCTTCAGTTTCAACATGGTGAACCACTCAAGAGACATGAGAGGAACCAGCAACTACATCAGAAAACTAATGTTTTCCGGGAACATCAGTCAGTTGAGTTCAGTTCAGTCGCTCGGTCGTGTCTGACTCTTGGCGACCCCATGGACCGCAGCGCGCCAGGCCTCCCTGTCTATCACCACCTCCCAGAGTTCACTCACACTCACGCCCGTCGAGTCGGGGACGCCACCCAGCCGTCTCATCCTCTGTCGTCCCCTTCTCCTCCTGCCCCCAGTCCCTCCCAGCATCAGGGTCTGTTCCAGTGAGTCTAGGAACATAGGGTCTTGCAACCCCTGGCGTTCACCGTCACGCAAAGAAAGCAGGAAAACATACACGTCACCACATACCGATGAGGCCCGTGGTGTACCCCTGCCACTGAAGAATCTCTGCAAACGTGGTTTCATTCTGCGGGAGTCCCCCCGAGCCCGCGTTCCACATTAAGGCCCGGTAGCCGTCCGTGGCGTCCATGCCTGTGGAGTGGAGCAGAGCCGAGAGGAAAGGCTGGCTTCCGGCAAACGGCCGGAAGTGCCGCACTTGCGGGAAGTACCCCACTTCCCGTAACTCCCGTACTTCCGGTAAGTACGCCGCGGGTCGCCGCCGGGGACTGAGGTTCTCCACCGCAGACGGCTCTGTAAGGAGCCATCTGAGATTGCACCTTGACCTCGAGACTGACTCACAGATTCTGGACAAACAAGTTGGAATACAATCAGTCACCTTGACGACTTTCAGCTGTCTGAATTCTCAGTAGTTACAGAGCTTTCTTGGTGGCTCTGTAGATGGTAAAGAAACTGCCTGCAGTGGAGGAGACCAGGGTTCGATCCCTGGGCTGGGAAGATCCCCTGGAGAAGGAAATGGCAACCCACTCCAGTATTCCTGGCTGGAGAATCCCATGGACAGAGGAGCCTGGAGGGCCACAGTCCATGGGGTCATGAAGAGTCTGGAGATGACTGAGCAGCTTCCCACCACCAAAGCACAATATTTACATAATTCCAGGAAAGTGAGTTTGCAGATTGTATTTTAACCATCTATCAACCATTGCCACCTGATTTCTTTTTCCTTTTTTGGCTATTTTCGGGATCTTAGTTCCCATACCAGGGATCGAACCCATGCCCCCTGCACTGGGAACTCAGAGTCTCAATCACTGGACCACCAGGGAAGCCCCACTACCTGATTCTTTTATCTTTTTTTATATACATTTATTTATTTGGCTATGCAGGATCTGAGTAGTGTCAAGTGGGATCTATTTCCTTGACTGGAGATCAAACCGATGCTCCCTGCATTGGAAGAAAAGGCCCAACCACTGGGCTGCCAGGGAAGTCCCACCACCTGATTCTTTTTTTTAAAGAAAGATACATGTGTGTGTGTGTGTGTGTGTGTGTGTGTGTGTGTGTGTGTGTGTGTGTGCTGTGCAGGGTCTTAGTTATGGCATGTGGAATCTGGTTCCCTGCCCAAGGATTGAACCTATGCCCGGTGCAGTGGAAGAGCATGGAGTCTCCACCCCTGGACCACCAGGGAAGTCCTGCCACCTAATTCTTTTTGTTTCTTTGTTTTTTGTGTTAGTCTTTTTTATTTGTATCAAAGCCCCCTTGCCTTTTTATACAGTAGTTCATGGGGTTCTCACTGGGAAATATACTGGAGTGGCTTGCCTCCTCACCGATGCAATGGACACGAACTTGGGCTAACTCCGGGAGATGGCCACCACCCCATTTTTAGGAACAGTCAGCGGGCGGACAAGGCCAGCCCTTTCCCCAGCCGCCCCCACAGCACCGACCTGATCTGAAGGCGTGTCTCCCCGTGAGGAAGGCGGCCCTGCTCGGGGTGCAGAGGGGGGCGGCCGCCAGGTGCTGGGTGAGCCTCACGCCTTCCTCCGCAAGCAGGTCGATGTTCGGTGTCCTGGGCAAAGCACACCAAGGTCGCCGTTAGGATGGGCCGGGCGAGCGAGCAGGGTCGGGTCCCCGTGCTGAAAGGTGTACGGATGAGTTCTCCATTTGAGGAACTCCCTTCGCTTTAGATTTAATTGCATTTTGTCCCCTGCCGGACCTCCCTGGGGGCTCAGATGGCAAAGAAACCTGCCTGTAATTTAGTATAACTGGGTTCAATCCCTAAGTAGGGAAGATCCCCTAGGGGAGGCAAGCCACTCCAGTGTTCTTGCCTGGAGAATCCCATGGACAGAGGAGCCTGGTGGGCTACAGTCCATGGGGTCACAGAGTCTGACACAGCTGACCAACTAACACATAGACACATCTGCAGAGGCAGTTCCTGAAACTTCTGTTCAGAGGTGGCGGCTGACGGTATCATGCACACACACTCCAGAAAAGGTTTCCGTGCATGCTCAGTTGTGTCTGATGCTTGGCGACCCCATGGACTGCAGCACGCCAGGGTTCCCTGTCCATCACCAACTCCCGGAGCTTGCTCAAACCCATGTCCATCGAGTCAGTGATGCCATCCAACCATCTCATCCTCTGTCTCCCCCTTCTCCTCCTGCCTTCAGTCTTTCTCAGCATCAGGGTCTCTTCCAGTGAGTTGGCTGTTCGCATCAGGTGGCCAAAGTACTAGAGCTTCAGCATCACTCACCTGATCTTAGGAATTCTTCTCAGATTTCCCTCTATCTCTTCTGCATTCCCTCCAAAGTCCCTTGTGCTCTCTTCTTCTTCCCCTCAGAAAGGTTTATAACCCTCTTTTGTTCCAAAAATAACTTCCGCTGTGGAAATTTGATGCCTTAAGGAATTTCCTAATTTCTGCGAGCAGATTTGAAGTCTGCTTGGTTCATCCAAACACGTACACACACCCCCCAGAACTGCCTCCCACCCCACCCCCATCCCCAGCTCCTGGTACCTTAGTGTGTCGTTTCCATAGCAACCGAGATCCCCAATGCCCAGATCGTCTGCCATTATCAGCAGAATATTTGGTTTAGATGTATTTGCTGATTTTAATTCGCAAGTCTTCAGAAGCAAACACACGATGAGCAACACATTTAGAGAGTCCCTAGAGAGAGAGAAGAAAGAAAGAAAAAAGCCAAAAACGAAATAAACGTTTCCTTTGGGATAAAAGTCAGCCTTTCAAAACAGGTTGCAGGGAAGGTGCGGGCATTTGCATTCCACTGCACGAGTGCTCCTTCCATAGGTCCAGTCCAACTCTTTGCAACCCCACTGACAGGAGCCCACCAGACTCCTCTGTCCATGGAATTCTCCAGGCAAGAATAACTAGAGTGCATTGTCATTTCCTCCTCCAGGGGATCTTCCCCACCCAGAGACTGAACCGGTGTTTGCTACACTGGCAGAGGGATTCTTCACCACTGAGCGACCTAGGAAGTTCTTCCTTTATATTAGGATTTAAGAAAGAAAGGCCTGCAGCCCTTGTATACTTTTATCCCAGAGGCTTGACCAATCCATTCCACGCGCCACGCAAAACTTGAACGCGTTAGTTTTTGCTTTTGAAAGTCGTGATCCGCCCAAATTCAGTTTCTTTCACTGAATTCACCTAGGCCCCCACCTTGCACTACTTTGTAATTAATTCTCCCTGCACCACGGGCACGCCTTTCCCTGGGCCTCAGAACTGCATTCCTGGGTCAGGGGGGCCCAGGGTGAGGGGGGCCCAGAGTGGGGGGAGCCCAGGGTCAGGGGGGGCCAGGCTCCGCCAGGAGGGAAACGGGGCCAGGTCGGATCAGAGGGGGACTTTCGTTTTTAAAGGATCAACAGGGGATTAAAACTACCCTAGACAGCACAGCTCTTTTGATCAAATGATCACTGCTCGCATTTGAAAAGCGCGCGGTCAGCGAGCGTCGGGGGCGCACCGGGCGCGCGCGCGCGCCACTGAGGTTTGGGCGGTCCTGGGGGTGGACCTACGCAGGCTCTCCGCGCTCCCCAAAAGCCAGAGGCACTCGGGGGCTAGACGCTCCAGCGGATCCCCGAGACCCTAGCAGGGCCCCTGGTGCCATCCACGTTCCCGGATCGTGTCCCGGTGGACGTTCCCCGATCGCGTCCGGATGCGCCAAGCAGTCCGGAGAATCGGGGCGGCGTCTCCGCGGTGCTCGGGGTTGGGGACCTGTAGCCTGGGAACTTCGGTTTGTAAAGGATCAATACGGGATTAAAAGTCCCCTAGACAGCACAGCTGTTTGGATCAATCACTGCTCCGGTTTGCAAGGCGCGCCGCCAGCGAGTGCCGGGCGCCGCCCCGGCGTGTGCACTGCGTAACGGAGGTTTGGGCGGTCCTGGGGGTGGACCTACCGAGGCTCTCCCCACCCCCAAGCCCTGGGAGCTAGAAGCTTCAGCGGAGCCCAAAGTCCCCAGCAGCCGCCCCCCCCCCCCCGCAACCCCGTGCCAAACCCGTCCCCCAGTTGGGCCCCGACGCTCCAAGCAGTCCGGAAACTGGGGGCGGCGTTTCTGCCGCGCTCGGGTTTCCGGACCTGTAGCCCGTGGCCTGAGACTTGGGGAGTGGGGTTACCCTTGGAGGAATTTGTTGTGGTGAAAAGGAAAACAGAGAAAAGTTTTTCTTTCCCTTTCCTGAGAACAAAGAAGAGAAAGTGAACAGTGAGCGGGCCTGATTATTCCTAGTTGTTTTTTGTTTTTCACTTTAACTGCTCAGAACTCTGCCTGTCTGTAACTAAAGTTTGCTCTTTCTGACCCCTAACTCTGCAGGAGCCACAATTCACATCCCCCCCCCCCCACCTTGGACTCTATGCTAAATACACCCCCTACGTGGTGTTCACGCTTACAACACCCTTCTCCTTGAAGTTACATGTCAGAAAGAAGGCTCCCCAGAGCCACCGAACCGCCAGACTCAGTTATGGGTTCCTGACGACAGTGTAGGACTGCCTTTGAAACAATGCAAGAGGAAGAAATCAAGATCCTATCACCTCTTTGGGGGCTTGCCTGGTGGATCAGAACGTAAAGAATCTGTCTGCTTTTGGAGACACGGGTTCGATCCCTGGGTCAGGAAGACCCCCTGGAGAAGGCAATGACAATCCACTCCAGTAATTCTTGCCTGCAGAATCCCATGGACAGAGGAGCCTGGAGGGGCTCCAGTCCACGGGGGGTCGCTAAGAGTCCGAAAGGTAGGGACAAGGGGCAGACCGATTGCTTCCTAGTGGGTTTCAGGCACACGGCCCCGCCTGTGGGGTGAGGGATGGGAGGGTGGTCACTGTTCAGAACGGGGGTGTGTCTTACTTTGGGGATGGAGGGCGCGCGGGGAGAGAGGGCTGGAAGGAGGCTCCGGAGCGTGGGCTTTTCCAAGAGGGAACCTGGGAGAGTCGCGCCATAGTGAGTGGCCGGAGGGGACGCGGAGGCGCTCGGGGACCGGGACCTCTGGGACGGGACAGGAAGTCTTTGGAGAGCGGGGGAGGGGCTGCACCACCTCTACCGGGGCGTGGCCTGCCTGTCCCCGCCGCCTCCCTGCCGCCTCCCCCCCCGCTTCTGGTCCGTTTCCTTCCGCTCCCTCTCGTCGCCCCTCCCCACCCCGCGACGCCCTCAACCCAGCTCTCTAGTCCAGCCGGCGTCCGGGAAGGCGAGCCGGCCTCCAGCTGCGTTCTGGAGACTCCGAGGCGCAAGCGCAGCCCGGCCTTTGGCTGGGTGGGTGGGGGTGGGGGTGGGGGTGGGGGTGGGGGTGGGGGTGGGGGTGGGGGGCGGTCCGCGCTCGCCCTAGACGCGCCCCCCCCTCCATCCCCCTGTTTCCACGCCCCCAGCCCCGGGATCGGGGAAGGACGGGGTCCCAGGGCCCCGCGCACCTGGCGGCGTGCGCGGCGCGTCTCCTCTGCGCAGCGGGCGCCATGGCGGAGCGCGGCCCGAGCGCGGGACCTTGCGCCGCGCGCGCTGTGTCCCGCCCACCGAGCTGCGAGAGCAGGGGTGTGGGGCCCCCCTCCCGCTCTAATCCGCTTAAAGTCCTGGGGCCTCGGGGGGAACCGAGCTCCTAAACAGGTTTGCCTGGGTGGCTCTCGGTGGCTGGCACTCCCAGGGCACTGGGGCCAAAGTGGGGGTGCTGTTGTTCACTTTCTGCGTCGTGTTTGACTCTTTGCGACCCCATGGACTGTGGAATTGCCAGGCTTCCCTGTCCCATCATCATCTTCCGGAGCTTGCTCAAACTCACGTCCATCCAGTCGGTGAGGCCATCCAGCCTTCTCATCCTCTGTCGACCCCTTCCCCTCCCGCCTTCAATCTTTCCCAGCATCTGAGTCTTTTGTAGTGAGTCAGCTCTTCGCATCAGATGGCCAGAGTATTGGAGCTTCAGCATCAGCAACAGTCCTTCCAGTAATGTGACTGTTATCACACCCCCAAACTGGTGGCAATGTGGTAAGAACAGGGATTGAAATTCGTTATAACTGGTTGGCAGATAGATGGGGAAACAATGAAAACAGTGACAGACTTTATTTTGAGGGGGTCCAAAATCACTGCAGATGGTAACTGCAGCCATGAAATTAAAAGACGCTTGCTCCTTGGAAGAAAGGTTACTGACCAACCTAGACAGCACGTTAAAAAGCAGAGACATTACCTTGCCAACAAATGTCTGTCTAGTCAAGGCTGTGGTTTTTCCAGTGGTCATGTATGGATGTGAGAGTTGGACTATAAAGAAAGCTGAGCACCGAAGAATTGGTACTTATGAACTGTGGTGTTAGAGAAGACTCTTGAGAGTCCCTTGGACTGCAAGGAGATCCAATTAGTCCGTCCTAAAGGAAATCAACCCTGAATATTCATTGGAAGGACTGATGCTGAAGCTGAAACTCCAATCCTTTGGCCACCTGATGCGAAGACCAGACTCACTGGAAAAGACCCTGATGCTGGGAAAGATTGAAGGCAGGAGAAGGGGACAACAGAGGATGAGATGGTTGGGTGGCATCACCGACGCAATGGACATGGGTTTGGGTAAACTCTGGGAGTTGGTGATGGACAGGGAGGCCTGGCGTGCTGCCGTCCATGGGGTCGCAAAGAGTCAGACACGACTGACTGAACTGAACTGATAGCTGGTTGGTTCACTTTGGATGCAGGTTTCTGGGACCCCCCCCCCAAAAAAAAAGCTGGAAAAGCTGCAATCATGACAATAGTGAACATGCTCTTCACCTCAAGTGGCCAGAGTATTGGAGCTTCAGCTTCAGCATCAGTCCTTCCAGTGACTATTCAGGGTTGATTTCCTTTAGGATGGACTGGCTGGATCTCCTTGCAGTCCCAGGGACTCTCAAGGGTCTTCTGTTACTGGAATAGAGTTGATTTCGTCTCAGGTGTAAAGTGAACCAGTCATACATAAACATGGATCCCCTCTTTTTTGTATTTCCTTCTGATTCAGGTCATTACAGGGCATTGAGTAAAGTTCCTTGAGCTATACAGTAGGCTCTCACAAGTTATCTGTTAACACATGTGTGCTATATTGCTTCGATCATGTCCGACACTTTGTGACCCCGTGGACTGTATAGCCCACCAGGCTCCCCTGTTCACGGGATTCTCCTGGTGAGAATACTGGATGGAGTAGCTCGCCATTTCCTTCTCTGGGGGATCTTCCCGACCCAGGGATTGAACCTGCGTCTCTTACGTCTCCTGCACTGGTGGGCAGGTTCTTCACCACCAGTGCCACATAGAAAACCATTTAACAACAGTTCCTCTAAACGTGCATGTTAATTCCAAAAATTTAGACCTAGATTATTTTTGCTTTTCAAAATGTACTATTATATTTGAATAGCAAAAAAGAAAAAGCCATTTAAGACATCATAGTCTGTATGTGTCCGTTCCAGTCTCCCAATTTATCCTGTGCACCCCTTACCCCCTGGTAAGCCTAATTTTCTTCTCTACATCTATGACTCTGTTTCTGTAGCGTGTGTGGGTGTGTGAGTTCATTGCTCAGTTGTGTCCAACTCTTTGTGACCCCGTGGACTGTAGTCCGCCAGGCTCCTCTGCCCATGGGATTCTCCAGGCAGAATCCTGGAGTGGGTTGCCATTTCCTCCTCCAGGGGGATCTTCCCGACCCAGGCATCAGACCCGGGTTTCTGTGGTATAGATAAGTTCATTTGTATATTTTAGCTTAGGAGTCTTATTTTTTTATTGGAGAGGCATTACTTGCCAATATCATGCTGGCTTTTGCCATACCTCAACCTGAATCAGCCATCGGTATACACATGCCCCTTCCCTCTGGAACCTCCCTCCCTACCCCACCCCTGTAGTTCGTCATAGAGCGCCAGCTTTGGCTTCCTGGCGCCATACAGAAGATTCCAACTGGCTGTCTACCTTACAGAGGATAGGACATATGTTTCAAGGCTGCCCTATCCGTCCGTCCCACCCCGTCCTTCCCCCACTGTGTCTGCAAGTCCGTCATTTATGTCTTCGCCTCTTTTGCTGCTCTGCACTTAGGATCGCCAGGACCATCTTTCTAGATTCCATGTATGTGCATTCAGTTCAGTTCAGCCGCCTGACTCTTTGTGACCCCATGGACCACAGCATGCCAGGCCTCCCTGTCTATCACCAACCCCCAGAGTTTACCCAAACTCATGTCCCTTGAGTCAGTGATGCCATCCAACCATCTCATCCTCTGTCGTCCCCTTCTCCTATGTGCATTAATATAGGATATTTGTCTTTCTCATAGTCAAGACATAAAGACAAGTACTGGATTCTTTTTTTTATTATTGATTTATCTTTTTAATTGAAGGATAATTGCTTTACAGACTTTGGTTGGCTTCTGCTAAACCTCAACACGATTCAGCCATAGGTATACCTGTGTCCCCTCCCTCTCGAACCTCCCTCCCGCCCCCGACCCCAGGCCCCCTGTCTGGGTTGTTACCGAGCCCCTGTTTGAGTTCCGTGAGCCATAGAGCAAATTCCCATTGGTTATGTAATTTACACATGGTCATGTAAGTTTCCGAGCTTCCCTGGAGGCTCAGCTGGTAAAAATCCGCCTGCAATGCGGTTGGATCTCTGGGTCGGGAAGCTCCCCGAGAGGAGGGCTTGGCAACCCGCTCCTGTATTCTTGCCTTCAGAATTCCATGGACAGAGGAGCCTGGTGGGGCTACAGTCCATGGGGTCGCAAAGAGTCTGGCACAACGCAGCGCAATGTGAGTTTCCAAGTTACTGTCTTCATACATCTCAGCCTTTCCTTCCCCCCCCCGCCCCCCCACTGCCCTCCACTGACCGCGGCGCAGATTCTTCAGTTAGGTAACTTTAGAAGTGGTGGAGAAAGGATTCACGCCCACACCAGCAGGCGACTTGACTTCACACCGGTGGTTTATATTTGTTTGACGCCGGTGAAGACCTGCAGGGGGTCGGGGAGCCGGGTTTCCCAGGCGGACTCCTATCGTGGGTCCGCGTCCCGATCGCACCAGCAGAAGGGAAACCGACCACAGCACGGCTGCAGCCACGGCTTCCACGTGTTGTCCGCCGCGTCCAGCTGCAGCGGAGCCGGGCTGAGCGTCCGGCGATGGGCCGCCACGGCCCGGGCCACGGTCTCCACCACCCGGTGGAACGAGGGCTCCGTGTCCGGCGTGAGGGCGTGGGCCTCGGAAGGGTCTCGGGACAGGTCGAACAGCAGCGGTGGGGCGTGCTGGGTTACCCCGTCCCCGGAGCAGGGGCACACCACCTGCCCGTAGCAGGCGCGTGCGCCGTCCGGCTGGAAGACGGGGGTCGCGAAGTGGACTTTCCACACTGCACCTCCTGGAGGGAAGGCGAGAATTAGTGCGGGTGGGACCTGCAGGCTAAGGATGGATGGTGGCCGGTCTTATGAGCGTGTTTGGGGCGGATGGGACGGGCGTAGGCTTCCCTGGTGGCAGACTGTAAAGAATCCGCCTGCAATGCAGGAGACCCAGGTTCCATCCCTGGGTTGGGAAGATCCCCTAGAGGAAGGCCTGGCAACCCACTCCAGTATCCTTGGGCTTCCTGGTGGCTCAGATGGTAAAGAACCCGCCTGCAATGCAGGAGACCCAGGTTCGACCCTTGGGTCGGGAAGATCCTCTGGAGGAGGAGGGCATGGCAATCCACTCCAGTATTCTTGCCCAGAGAATCCCATGGACAGGAGCCTGGCGGGGCTACACACAGTCCATGGGGTTGCCCAAGACTTTGACATGACTTAAGCGACGGAACAAACAGGAAACCATAGGCAAGCCTTCCCTTCCCATGGGGGACAGGATGATTGACTGCTAAAGGATGCTCCTGGGACCGAAAGGAAAATACCGCCAAGAAGGAAGCAAAGACAATCACGTGGAAATAAATGAAAGGCATGAAGGAGCAGAAAAGGAGAGCAGAGGCCAAGCCGGGCCCCGCGTGCGGCGGACTCACGGTCGCGTTGATGCCACCGGGCGGCGTGCAGAAAGCTCTCGCAGTAGTGCATGAGGAACTCGTGTTCCGAGTGCTGCGCGGTCCCCTGGAGCAGGGCCAGCAGGTCCCGGCCGTCCACCACCCTGCAGTCGGGAGCGAGGGGGGCGGACTCAGGGCGAGGCGCTGGGAAGCGGGCGGGAACCATTAGCGAGCCCCGGCGGGCAGCTGGTATACCATCCGCCTGCAGGCAGGACCTTTGGTTGGAACAGCCTGGCGGGTCCGCCCCCTGCAGGGGGCTGAAGCAAAGGTCTACCTGGCCTTATTCTGAATGCACGGATGGGTTATTGTTTGGGAACAGCTGCTTGGTTTTATACGCATTGGAGCTTTAACTCCTTACAGAAATACATGGTGTGCTTCCACAAGACCTGGAATCATTCCATAAATATATATAATAAAATAAGTATGCGTATATACGATATATATGGGGCTTCCCTGGTGGCTCAGCTGGTAAAGAATCTGCCTGCACTGCAGGACACCTGGGTTTGATCCCTGGGTTGGGAAGATCCCCTGGAGAAGGGCATGGCAACCCACTCCAGTATTCTTTCCTGGAAAATCCCATGGACAGAAGAGCCTGGCAGGCTTACAGTCCACGGGGTCGCGAAGAGTCAGACATGACTGGGCAACTAACGCTTTCACTTTCATCATATAAATTATGTATTCATCTGTATGTTGGCAAGTTTAAGACATTATTTTCTTTCTTTTACTCCCAAATTTTCTATAATTTTTTTGGGGGGCCATACTGTGCTTCATGTAGGATCTTAGTTCCCTGACTAGGGATTGAACCCACAACTCCTGCATTGGAAGTACGGAGTCTCAACCACCGGGCTTCCAGGGAAGTCTCAATAATTTTTAAAAAGAAAAAAAAATGGAAACATAAAAAGTCTCTACCAGGCTACGTGAAAAGGACTGTCTCATGATGGACTGTCAGTAAATACATCAGTGTGTTTCAGCGACCATCGTCATACTCAAGAGGCTCCACTTTTAATTCAGGAGAAGGACACGTTGTGTACACCATAAAGCAGACATGGGAGCCCGTAATGACCAATGCTTTTCCAGGTACCCATCTCATGGGCGTTTTAGGCCAAAGGAAAGTGATGTTTGACGCACACTTTGTCTGTATGCAAAACGGAATTGCCTTCTCTGGGCCGGTCTTTACCTGTCCTGGGGCACCTGGCCACCTGCCAGGTGGACCACGGTGGGGAAGACGTCCATCAGGCTGGTGGGCTCATGGACCACGCGGCCGGCCGGCAGGACCCCAGGCCACCGGAATATCCCCGGGACCCGGATCCCGCCTTCCCAGCCACCCGTGCCTTTGCCACCTGTGTTTAAACATGAACAGGAAAGAATGTGACTGCAAATCAGGGGTTGCTTCCCTGGGTGACCTAACCCTTGTGTTCATTTTAAATCACTCTTTCTCCCCCTCTCTGTTTAATGACATGATGACATTTAGCTCCTACATGGTTGGATTTTATTTTCCTTATAAATCTGGGTGTTGGTTTTCCACCATACTGGGGTCAGGATGTGAATGTATCAGGGGACGTTATTCTATCCAGCACTCGGGGGTCAGTATATGGATATCTTTGGGGACGTGATTCTGTCCACCACAGTGATCACTGGGGTTCTTCTGATTTTTGTGACTTGGCTTTTGTAAACTCACATTCCAGAGGAAGGGTTGACAATTATTGGGAAGAGATGAAGACTGTAGACACACATCTGAGAATGCCTAACTCTCACCTTTGTATATCCCATTCCAGCCACCATATTGGTTGTTTCCAGACTGAGCCTCTAAGGATCCCCCGTGATCCGATGTAAAATAAACGAGGGTGCTGTTGGTCAACCCTTCTGTGTCCAAAGTATCGAGGATCTGGCCTGCAAAGAACACATGTGTCTGAGGCGGTCAAAACAGAAGACAGTCTTTCACCAAATTTTTGGAACCCTTCATGAAAAGGAGTCTTTAGTATGAAAGCATGCTGCGTGACCAGTGATAGAAGTGTGGGATTCTAGTGGGTGTGGTCAAAGCTCTGGTTTTTGCAGTAGTCATGTACGGATGTGAGAGCTGGACCATGAAGAGGCTGAGTGCAAAAGCACTGATGCTGTGGTGCTGGAGAAGACTCCTAGGGTTCTTTGGACTGCAAGATCAAACCAGTCCATCCTAAAGGAAGCCAACCCTGAATAGTCATTGGGAGGACTGATGCTAAAACTCCACTCCTTTGGCCACCTGATGGGAAGAGCTGACTCACTGGAAAAGACCCTGAAGCTGGGAAAGACTGAAGGCAGGAGGAGAAGGGGGCGGCAAAGGATAAGATGATCAGATATCACCAACTCAGTGGGCATGAATTTGAGCAAACTCTAGGAGATGGAGACGGACGGAGGAGCCTGCAGTGCTGCAGTCCATGGGGTTGCAAAGAGTCGGACACAACTTGGAGACTGAACAACCAGATAGCGTCTTTGATCCAAGATTGATACATCTCTTTGTATATGCCCCCATTCAGCCTTCAAAAAATTTCAGGAGAGCGACAAGGTTGCATGAGACATAGGACAGTGTGGTGAACACTTAAAAGTGAGGCAAAAGAAGGTTACAGAGAAGAAAGGACAGGAAGCAGTGGTGACTGTGAAGCAGGCGTTAAAGTGTTCGCACAGCAAAGCTACTTACCCACCATCCAGTCCATCTCTTCTGTGTTGTCCCCGTAAAGCCCATGGGGACTCCTCCCACGGAAGTTCTCAGTCGTGACAAGCGGGGTGTGGACGTGTAGAAAGGACACAAAGAGGAGGAAAGGTCCTTGCTTGTTTCTGAAAACCGATACAACATGCCTGGCTTTATTTCTTGTTCACTTGTTTCAGTGGACCCAGTTGGGTTCCAGGGATCATCATTTAGGACCATCCATTTGACCAAAACTGTCTTTCTGAGCCAGAAGGATTTCACCATGCCGGCTTCCCCGGTGGTTCAGATGGTAAAGAATCTGCCCGCAACACGGGAGACCTAGGTTTGATCCCCGGATCGGGAAGATACCGTGGAGAAGGGCATGGCAACCCACTCCAATATTCTTGCCTGGAGAATCCTATGGACAGAGGAGCCTGGTGGGCTACAGTCCACGGGGTGGTAAAGAATCAGACATGACTCAGCGACTGTCGGTTTCACTTTTTTTATACCTATTAACAAGAGGAGAAGGGGGCAGCCGAGGATGAGAGAGTTGGATGGCATCTCATCCGACTCGAAGGACATGAGTTTGAGTAAGCTCCGGGAGCTGGTGATGGACAGGGAGGCCTGGCGTGCTGCAGTCCATGGGGCCGCGAAGAGTCAGACACGACTGAGCCACTGAACAACAACCTACCCATTTCGGAAGAAGAGATTTGGGATGCGTCTTCACCCTGAAGCGCCTCTCTGCACTCACCTTTTGACGAAGGATGAGACCTCCTGGAGCATGAGTGGCGTCGTCCTCTGAGAGCGCATGGGCTGCTCTGTGATGGAATGATTCCGCATCAGAAAGCAGTCCGCGTGCACGATCAGGGCGCCCACCACACAGGAGGTGGTGAAGAGCAGGAGGCACACGACGGTTGACCAGATGACCGGAGTCCAGGAGGCTGGGATCAGGTGGGTGAGCTTCCCGATTGTGAGTGTGAGGGCGGCCAAGGCCACGAGCTGGGAACAGACGCCAAGTCGACGCTCCAGGACCGCACGCTTCTCGGAGAGTCCCCAGCGCTCGCAGTCTGCCATCATGCTGAACGGCATTCCATAGAAATAGTCGAAGCCGTGATTGAGCGGGTGGTGGCAGTGATCGTTGGCAGACGCACAGTTGAGACCCAAATGCCATTTTCCTGGAAAATAAGCAAAAAAAAAAAAAGTGTGCAGATGTGACAGTGGTCCTTTCATCCTTCCGTGAGTGGGTACGACGGGCTTGCTGAGTCCTCGGTTCTCTGCTGGGTGGTGGGATGAGGTCAGGGTGCAGGCAGGTGGGCAGGGGATGGTGTTTGCTGTTATTTCCCCAGGAACCTGGCCAGGTTGGGTCAAGGCAAGAAGTGTGCCCGTGTTTCTGGTGCCCATTGTAACTAATCACCATCTCCATCTTCTGAGTCTGATCGTTCTTTCAAACACCTGTGAGTTGCCTGCATCTTATTGTTTCTCAGTTGAGAACTCCGTAACTTTGCCAGCAAAAGTGCATCTAGTCAAAGCTATGGTTTTTCCAGTAGTCATGTATGGATGTGAGATTTGGACCAAAAAGAAAGCTGAGTGTCAAAGAATTGATGCTTTTGAACTGTGGTGTTGGAGGAGACTCTTGAGAGCTGCTTGGGCTGCAAGGAGATCCAACCAGTCCATCCTAAAGGAAATCAGTCCTGAATATTCATTAGAAGGGCTGATGCTGAAGCTGAGGCTCGAATCCTTTGGCCACCTGATGCGAAGAGCTGACTCATTGGAAAAGACCCTGATGCTGGGAAAGACTGAAGGCAGGAGGAGAAGGGGACGACAGAGGATCAGATGGTTGGATGGCATCACCAACGCAATGGACATGAGTTTGAGCAAACTCTGGGAGATGGTGAAGGACAGGGAGGCCTGGCGTGGTGCAGTCCATGGGGTCACAAAGAGTCAGACACGATTGAGCGACTGAACAACAGCAACGGATTAGAACCGCATGTGGTCTGCAGTGGGGACCTTAGAGAGATTTTGTATTCTGTTGAAAATTTGTTACTGCCATATTGGTGATGCGTCCAAAGCAGTCTTGTAGATGATTTGCAGTTATATTTTTATTTTTAAAATTTTTATTTCATACTGGAGTATTACTGATTAACAGTGTTCTGTTAGTTTCAGATGTACAGCAAAGTGAATCAGCGATACCTATGCATGTATCTCTTCTTTTTCAAAATTTTTCCTCAGTTAGATTATTACAGAGTATTGAGCAGAGTTCCCTGTTTGTCCAGCAGGTCCTTGCTGGTTCTCCATGTTAAACACAGCCGTGTGTCCATGTCCATCCCAGACTCCCTGACCATCCCTTCCCCCATCCTTCCCCCTGGGGACCATCAGGTTATCACAGAGTATTGAGCAGAGTTCCCTGGGCTGTCCAGCGGGTCCTTGCTGGTTCTCCATGTTAAATCCAGCCGTGTGTCCATGTCCATCCCAGACTCCCTGACTGTGCCTTCCCCCATCCTTCCCCCTGGGGACCATCAGGTTATCACAGAGTATTGAGCAGAGTTCCCTGGGCTGTCCAGCGGGTCCTTGCTGGTTCTCCATGTTAAATCCAGCCGTGTGTCCATGTCCATCCCAGACTCCCTGACTGTCCCTTCCCCCATCCTTCCCCCTGGTGACCATCAGGTTATCACAGAGTATTGAGCAGAGTTCCCTGGTCTGTCCAGCGGGTCCTTGCTGGTTCTCCATGTTAAATCCAGCCGTGTGTCCATGTCCATCCCAGACTCCCTGACCATCCCTTCCCCCATCCTTCCCCCTGGGGACCATCAGGTTATCACAGAGTATTGAGCAGAGTTCCCTGGTCTGTCCAGCGGGTCCTTGCTGGTTCTCCATGTTAAACACAGCCGTGTGTCCATGTCCATCCCAGACTCCCTGACCATCCCTTCCCCCATCCTTCCCCCTGGGGACCATCAGGTTATCACAGAGTATTGAGCAGAGTTCCTTGGGCTGTCCAGCGGGTCCTTGCTGGTTCTCCATGTTAAATACAGCCGTGTGTCCATGTCCATCCCAGACTCCCTGACTGTGCCTTCCCCCATCCTTCCCCCTGGTGACCATGAGGTTATCACAGAGTACTGAGCAGAGTTCCCTGTGCTGGCCAGCAGGTCCTTGCTGGTTCTCCATGTTAAACACAGCCGCGTGTCCATGTCCATCCCAAAGTCCCACTCTACGCCCCACCCCCACCCAGTTTCTACACTTTTAAATCATAGTGCACCGGAAAACTGTATGAACCACCAAAAATCTCATTAAGCTGATATTTCTGGTGCATCTACGTTGCATGAAGCAATGTGGGTAACAGCATCTCAGCATGCATGGAGCTTTATGTCCAGTGAGAGATTCTACTGTGTTTCCCAACTATTTCATTTGGAAACGTTTTAGTTGAATTGAAAGTGAAAGTCGCTCAGTCGTGTCCAGCTCTTTGTGACCCCATGGACTATCGGTCCTTGAAATTCTCTGGGCCAGAATACTGGAGTGGGTAGCCTTTCCCTTCTCCAGGGGATCTTCCCAACCCAGGGATCAAACCCAGGTCTCCCGCATTACAGGTGGATTCTTTACCAGCTGAGCCACAAGGGCAGCCCAAGAATACTGGAGTGGGTAGCCTTTCCCTTCTCCAGGGGGTCTTCCCAATCCAGGAAATCAAACTGGGGTCTCCTTTATTGCAGGCGGATTCCTTACAACTGAGCTATCAGGGAAGCCCATAGATGAATTAAATGTCCGTATAAAAATAATGTGCTCAATACTGTTTGGCTGGCTCCTGACTATGATTCTTTGGATGTTGCCAACAAAATTGGGATCATCTAAACTGAGTCCAGTATAAAAGTCATCAGAAGAAACAAATAGTAATGTGCTTAGTCTTTAGAAAGTGTACATACCTATGAGTCCGGTGGTATAGCCTCTATCTTTCAGTATTTTTGCAAAACTTATTTCACTGGGCGGAATTCCTCCAGAGACTGCTGTCCACCGAAGAACACGGTGACCTTGACTGGAAACCATACCTTGGATCAATGGTGTTCAGAGAGATGTTACAGTCAGACATCTAGTTTTATCATCACTGCTCTTGTTAAGTGTTAGTCACTCTGTCCTGTCTGAGTCTTTGTGAGCCGTAGACCGTAACACACGAGGCTCCTCCGTCCATGGGAGTCTCCAGGCAAGAATACTGGAGTGGGTTGCCATTCCCTTCTCCAGGGGATCTTCCTGTCCCAGGGATTGAACCCTGTATTGGTGGAAATCTCTGTGACTCAATATGCGATGGAAAATTTAACCTTCCAACATGAGTTGAGCTCATGGGGCTTAGTTCTGGCATTCTCACCCAGTGTACTTTCTTTTAAAAAAAAAAAAACTTATGTCTATTTTATTTTTTGGCTGCGCTGGGTCTTTGTGGCTGCCGGCCAGTCTAGTTATGGCGACTTTGTCTTTAATGGAGGCGCCATTTCAGTTTGTGGATGAAAGGCGCTCAGTCATGTCTGACTCTTTGCAGCCCCACGGACTGTACACTCCATGGAATTCTCCAGGCCAGAATTACTGGAGTGGATAGCCGTGCTCTTCTCCAGGGGATCTCCCCCACCCGGGGATCAAACCCAGGTCTCTTGCATTGCAGGCAGATTCTTTACCATCTGAGCCACCAGGGGAGCCCTTGAACTGTGTGGTTAAATATGGTTAAAATAGGATGTTGTATATTATGTGACTTTGACCACAATAAAACAAAAACAGTAAAAAAAAAAAAAATACAGGGGGACTTGGAGCATTCTCCAGACCCTGTACTGAATAATTCATGCCTGATTAGTAACTGAGAGCGTGTTCCTGTCCACTGTGTGGTTAGACGGAAGGACCGACCTGATCGGAGTGGGTATCTGCCTGTTAAAAACGCCGCTCTGCTTGGGGTGCACACAGGGGCGGCGGCCAGATGCTGGGTGAGCCTCACGCCATCTGCCGCAAGGCGGTCGATGTTTGGAGTCCTGTGCAAGAAAACATTAACTCTCTTAATCCTCAGCAAACCAACATGGTTTGTTTTTCTTTCCATAAAGCAGAGTGACATCCTACTTGATAGAAAACCTGGCAGTTTACCAATGAATACCTCCGTGAGTACATTCAGTCATGCCCAACTCTTTGTGACCCCCATGGACTGTGGCCCACCAGGCTCCTCTGTCCGTGGGATTCTCCAGGCAGGAATACTGGAGTGGGTTGCCTTAATCTACTCCAGGGGATCTTCCTGACCCAGGGATCGAACTGCGTCTCCTGCACTGGCAGGCGGATTCTTTACCGCCTTAGGAATGAGCAAAAGGCAACGACTTTGCAGAGGACTTTGCAGAGGTGAGGATGTCGTACAGAGTGAAGTGAGTCAGAAACATAAGAATATCGTATATGAGCGCGTATATGTGGAATCTGGAAAGATGGTACCGATGAACCTGTTTGCAAAGCAGAAATGGAGACGCAGATGTAGAGACAAACGTATGGATACCAAAGAGGGAATGTCGGGTGGGGTGGGATGATTTGGGAGTTTGGGATTGACCTATAGACCCCACTGATACCTGGGCTTCCCAGGTGGCGCTAGCGGTAAAGAACCCACCTGCCCATGCAGGAGATTCCTAGGTCGATCCGTGGGTCAGAAAGATCTCCTGGAGGAAGGCGTGGCAGCCCACTCCAGTATTCTTGCCTGGAGAATCCCCATGAACAGAGGAGCCTGGTGGGCTACAGTCCATGGGGTTGCACAGAGGCGGAGATGACTGAAGCGAGTTAGCATGATGCTGTGTATAAAATCGGGAATGACTGAAGCGACTTAGCGTGACACTATATATAAAATAGATAACTAGTCAGAACCTACACTACGGCACGGGCAGCCCTAGTCAATGCTCTATGGTGACCTCAATGGGAAAGAAGATCCAAAAAGACGGGAGATACAGGTGTGCGTATAGCTGATTCACTTTGTTAGCAGCAGCTAACAACATCGTAAAGCAACTATACTCCACTGAAAATTAATAACAACAAAAAGAAAACAAAGAGTGGCAAACCCTCAAACGTCTTGCGAACCGCCAAAGAAACATCAACTGCATAACTGTTTTTCCATGTTTGGCCACGCCCCTCTGCATGCGGGATCTTCGTTCCCTGAGCGGGAATCGAACCTGCGTCCCTTGCGTTGGAAGGCGGAGTCCTAACCACTGGACAACCAGGGACATCCCACTTAACTGCATTGTTTACCGGAAGCTTCCACACTGTACTACTGAGGCTGAAATGGACTCAATAGAACATCCAGAATTGAGAGCCAGGGTGATTTCTCACTTAGGACTCTCAGTCTTTTTTCTTTTTGTTTTCAAATTTTTTTATATGGGTGTATCATTGATTCACCATGTTGCATTAGTCTCTGGCGTAGAGTAGAGTGATTCAGTTAGACTGTGCGTTTGAGCTGGGCTGAGTGCAGGCGTGGGAAGAATGCAAGATGGAAGTGCTTTTAATCGTGCTCGTGTCTGACTCTGCGACCCCATGGACTGTAGCCCCTCCGGGCTCCTCTGTCCATGGGATTCTCCAGGCAAGCATACTGGAGTGGGTTGTCACGTCCTCCTCCTGGGGACCTTCCCCACCCAGGGGTAGAAGCCGACCGAGTCTCCTGCATTGGCAGGCAAACTCCTTACCACTGAGCCTCCTGGGAAGCCCGATACCTTACAAAGAAAGGATGTGCGCACAGCTCTGTTCAAGTTTGAACTGCCTAGACCAAAGGTCAGATGGCTCATCATGGACCTCTGCACCCGGGTGTCAGACAAGCCGGTCTCCGGTCCTTGCCTGATGGTGGTGTTGCCGTAGCAACCGACGTCTCCAATGCCGAGGTCGTCCGCCATCAGAAGGAGGATGTTGGGCCGGGGGTCAGGTGGAGGGCCGCAGGCTGAGGGTTTCGGACCCAGAAGCGCAGCGACGGCGAGCGCCAGCCAGCTCCTGAAACACACGGGCCAGCCAAGGCTGCGTGCGGGGTTGCGTCGAAGTACACAGCCTCCGTGAGCGGGAAAGCTGGGGCCGCCCCTCCAGGCCGCTGCCAGAGGGGCATCCCGGTGCAGGAGAGTCTGAATACATCTCTTGGGCCTTTGATTCCTTTTCCTTCTTTTTAAAAACATATGCTATGGGGAACACATGTAAATCCATGGCTGATTCATGTCAATGTATGGCAGAAACCACTACAATATTGTAATTAGCCTCCAACTAATAAAAATGAATGAAAAATATATATGTGTTATATTAAACATAACGTACATTTACTAAATATGTATTATAAATTATATTAAATTAATATATATTATCATCCCATTCCAGAAGACTTTGAATACATCTCTTAGGCATTTGATTCTTTTTTCTAAGAGTTTGAATACATCTCTTAGGCATTTGATTCTTTTTTCTAAGAGTTTGAATACATCTCTTAGGCATTTGATTCTTTTTTCTAAGAGTTTGAATACATCTTTTAGGCATTTGATTCTTTTTTCTTCTTTCTAAAAATATATGTTATATTACATTAAATATATATCAATTATTCAATATTTTTATTATTTTAGTTAAATATATATTGTATTAAATATAATATATATATTATCATACCATTTCAGAAGAGTCTGAAAGTATCTCTTAGGCATTTTCTTTTTGTTGAAAGCCACTTGTACTTTTTTTGGATATTAGCATTGAATTTCAGAAGAGGTTGGATACGTGTCTTAAGTATTAGATTTTTCTTCTTTTTTTTTTTTGTTAGCGACCCCATGGACTATACAGTCCATGGAATTCTCCAGGCCAGAATACTGGACTGGGTAGCCTTTCCCTTCTCCAGGGGATCTTCCCGCCCCAGGAATCGCACTGGGGTCTCCTGCATTGCAGGTGGATTCTTTACCAGCTGAGCTACCAGGGAAGCCCTAAACATATATTCTATTAAATTATCATCCCATTTCAGAAGAGTTTCAATACATCCCTTAGGCATTTTCTTTTTGTTAAAAGCAACTCATACTTTTTAACATTAGCTTTGAATTTCAGAAGAGCCTGAATACGTCATAGGCATTTGATTTTTCTTTTTTTTTTTAGTTAAAAATGACTCACACTTTTTTTTTAATATTATCATCTCATTTCAGAAGAACTTGAGTATAGCTCTTAGGCATTTGAGTTTCCCCGCCCCCGCCTTTTTTAAGTTAAAAACAGCTCATGCTCTTTTATAGATATATTATCATCCCACTTCAGAAGAATTTGAATACATCTTTTAGGCATTTGATTTTTTTTCTTTTTTTTTGGTTAAAAACAAGTCACACTTTGTCAATATGATCGCATTCCAGAAGAGCTTGAGTACACCTCTTAGGCATTTGATTTTTTCTTTTTTAGTGAAAGACAACTCACACTTTTAAAAATATATTTTATCATCCCATTTCAGAAGAGTTTGAATATATCTCTTAGGCATTTGACTCTTTTTTTCTTTTTTTTTTTTAGTTAAAAACAACTCATACTCTTTTTTAAAAAAAACATTATCATCCCATTCAGAAAAGTTTGCATTCATCTCTTAGGCATTTTTTCCCCTTTTTTTTTTTTTTTAGCAAAAACACTCATACTATTTTTTAAAAAATATTATCAACCCATTTCAGATTTCAGATAGTTTAAAAAAAACTCACACTTTAAAAATATATATTATCATCCCATTTCAGAAGAATTTGAATACATCTCTTGTGGCTCAAATACATTCCCTGGTGGCTTAGCTGGTAAAGAATCCGCCTGCAATTCGGGAGACCGGGGTTTGATCCCTGGGTCGGGAAGATCCCCTGGAGAAGGGAAAGGCTCCCACTTCAGTGTTCTGGCCTGGAGAAACCCATGGACGGTGTAGTCCACGGGGGTCACAAAGAGCCGGATACGACTCGGTGACTTTCAGTTTCACTTTCTTAGGCATTTGACTTTTTTTTTTTTTTTAGTTTAAACAACTCACACTTTTAAAATACATAACATCAATCCCATTTCAGAAGAGTCTGAATACATCTCTTAGGCACTTGAATTTTTTTTTTTTTTCCCCAGGCGGTCCAGCAGTTAAGATTTTGCCTTCCAATGCAGGGAGGACAGGTTTGATCCCTGGTCGGGAAGCTAAGATCCTACATGCCTTGAGGCCAAAAACCCAAAATGTAAAACGGAAGCGGTGTTGTCATACATTCAATAACGTGCGCTCAGCTGCTTAGCCGTGTCCGACTCTTTGCAACCCAAGGACCATAGCCCGCCAGGCTCCTCTGTCCACGGGATTCTCCAGGCAGGAATCCTGCAGTGGGCTGCCATGCCCTACTCCAGGGCATCTTCCCGACGCAGGGATCGAACCTCGGGTCTCCTGCATTGCAGGCAGATTCCTTACTATCTGAGCCTCCGGGGAACTCCAAGGGCATTGATCAGTGACTAACTGAGAAAGGTCACTTTACTATCAACGAATTCTGAAAAACTGACCGGAAGAGATGCAGAGGCAGACGGTGGAGATGACCAATTGCACACAGCCCTGTCTTACCAAGAGTGTTCTAGATGTAACATGTCCTCTCTTTCCTTGTATTTCCTGTAAGAAATAAAGAGGTGAATACTTGGGCAGCAGGAACGGAACTGTTGATAGTGCAGTAAGTAATAACAGTGGTTCAGTGGTAAAAAATTAAATAAATAAACAATCTGCCCGCAACGCAGGACATGTGGGTTCAGTCCCTGGGTGGGGAAGATCCCCTGGAGGAGGACATGGCAACCCACTGCAGTCTTCTTGCCTGGAGAACCCCACGGACAGAGGAGCCTGGAGTTGCAAAGAGTCGGACACGACTGAGCATGCAGGCAATCCTGTGAGGCCAGTCAGCTTAGGGCACTGAGTTTCAACAACAAGAGGGAAAAATCTGATTCTGCCAGTGGCCTGTGAAAATGACCCAAAACCCATAAAGGAAGGCTCTTCCTGGAAATTTCCCAGCAATCGAGTACTTAACACTGTGTGCTTCCAGTGCAAAGCGCGTGGGTTCAGTCCCTGGTCGGAGAAACTAAGATCCCGCACGCTGACCGGAGTGGCCAAAACAACAACAAATCACATAGGGGCTTCCCTGGTGGCTAAGCGGTAAAGAATCCGCCTGCCAATGCGGGAGGCGCTGCTTCCATCCCCGGGTTGGGAAGATCCCTCTTGCAGATGAACAGTGAAGGCTGTGAGCCACAAACACTGAAGTCTGTGAGCCCTAGAGCCTGTGATCTAGCATACGGCAAAGAAGACACAGCCCAGTCATAAGTAATAAATCAGTTAATCTGGAAACAATAAAGAACCATAGTGATGCTCTTCCCTGCAGAAGCTTTACAGACACTGGACACCGTCTCCAGAACGTAGAACGCGGACTTCCTTAGATGTAGCTTAGGACAGAGGGGGTGATTGCTTCTGAGGCCCCAAAACAGGCCACTGTTTCTCCCTTGTGGTGAAAGTTCCCGAGGCGTTCTGGATTCAGGCGTGGCTGCTGGAAGCCTGGTTCGGTCCAGACGGACCTTGAGTCCCACATCGGGAGCAAGGAAGCAAGGTTCTCCCTGCTGGCCCAAGAGGTTAAAAGCCCACCTGCCGATGTAGGAGACGCAGGTTCGATCCCTGGGTCTGGAAGGTCCCCTGGAGGAGGAAATGGCAACCCTCTGCAGTCTTCTCACCTGGAGAATCCCACGGACGGAGGAGCCTGGCGGGGCTACAGTCCACGAGGTCGCAAGCGTCAGACCTGACTCAGAGGCTGAACAACAACAGCAAGCAAGCCGTGTTTCCTCCGAAGGTTCTAGAATCCTCAGACCTCACCCAGGTTGTGGTTTACTGGTCCTGTTTGCAGAAACTCGGGACGAAGCGGATGTTCTAGTCCAGCGTCAGACTGGAGGCGTGTTCAGTTTGATGAGGTTCCAAATGCCCTCGAGGTAGGTCCTTGGATCAGATGGGGCTGGTGTGCAAACAGCGTGTGTGCTCGCTCAGCCCTGCCCGAGTCTCTGCGACCCCACGGACTGTTCAGTGGGTGGCCATGCCCTCCTCCAGGGGATCTTCCCCATCCAGGGATCGAACCCCCGTCTCTCAAGTCTCTTGCCCTGTAGGCAGGTTGGTTACCACTGAGCCAGCTGGCGAGCCTGTCCAAACAGTGTCCTTGGGGCCAGACTGCAGGAGGTAGGCTGGAGTGGGTATGTCCTGGTTGGAACTCTCTTTCAACTTGACCAGGAAAAAAAAAAAACAAAAAACCAACTGGTTTGGGGTTTCTGGCCTTTTGTGTCTGAGTCCTGATGTGACTTAAAAAAAAAAAAATGTGAGGGCTTTCCCGGTGGCCCAGTGGTAAAGAATCCACCTGCCGGAGAGCGAGACACGGGTTCGGTCTCTAGTCCGGGAAGATCCCACGTGCCGCGGTGGGGCAACTAGCTGAGCTGGTGCTCCCGAGGCCACGAGCTGCAGCCGCAGAAGCCTGGAGCCCGTGCCCTTTCACCAGACGAGCCCCTGCAGTGAGAATCCCGCAGACCAGAGCTAGAGAGGAGCCCCTGCTCGCTGCCCCTGGAGAAAACGCCCTGAGCCGTGATGAAGACCCAGCACAGCGCCAGGTCAATCAATAAATAACACTGTCCAAAATTAAAACAAAGAAAAGAATATTAAGACTCCTCCCGCCCCGCTGCGCCCCGGTGGCCCAGTAGTTAGGATTCCATGCTGTTAATTCTGGGCCCCATTTCAATCCCTGGTCAGAGACCGAAGATCCTGCGAGCCTTGAGGTGTGAGCAAAAAAAAAAAGAAAAGGAGAGGAGGGGGAACGAAAAAGAAGGCAGAACATGTGTTTATCAAGAGCGTGATGGTTAATATTTCGGGCTTTCCTGCCAAGGTGGTCTTGCCCCTGCCACTTCTTTCTGCCTTTACAGCGGGACGTGGCCGCCGACCATCCAGACAGCTGAGCTTGTCCGTCAATAAAACTGGATTTCCAAAAGCAGGCTGAGTTTGCGGAAGGGACCACAGCTTTCTGATCCCCAACATAAAGGAGGCAGTATAAAGGAAAACACAAAATGAAGTGATAAGACATCGATACGACATGATCTCTAATACGTATTTTTTATTTTTAATTCTGGTGAAAGTCGCTCAGTTGTGTCTGACTCTTGGCGACCCTGTGGACTATACATAAGTCCATGGGATTCTCCAGGCGAGAATGCTTCAGTGGCTAGCCCTTCCCTTCTCCAGGGGAATATTCCCAACCCAGGGATGGAACCCAGGTCCCCCGCATTGCAGACACATTCTTTACCAGCTGAGCCACCAGGTAAGCCCAAGAATACTGGAGTGGGTAGCCTATCCCTTCTCCAGGGGAATCTTCCCAACCCAGGGATGAAGCCCAGGTCTCCTGCATTGCTGGCAGATTCTTTACCAGCTGAACCATCAGGGAAGCCCTGATTGCCTTTTAATTGTGGTAAACATACATTGATTAAAAACAAAAAAGATTTGTATGGAAGATCATGTCATATCAATAGGAAATTCCTTCCCAGGTGGCACTAGTGGTGAAGAAGCCGCCTGCCAGTGAAGGAGACCTGAGCTCGATCCCTGGGTAGGGACGATCCCATGGAGGAGGAAACGGCAGCCCACTCCAGTACTCTGGCCTGGAGAATCCCATGGACCGAGGAGCGTGGCGAGCTACAGTCCGTGAAGTTGCAAAAGAGTCGGACAGGACTTGGCGACTCAACAGCGACAAACAGACATCACCGAATTTCCCGTCTCCGTCATTACGTGGACAGCGCAGTAGCAGTGAGCACAGTCCCGTCCTTGTACAGCTGTCCCTGCGGCCCACGTTCGGAACCACTTCATCTCCGCAGACGGAGACTCTGCCCCCATGAAACACGCTCCTGCCCACCCCGCTCCCCCAGCCCACGGAGCCCGCCCTCATGCTTTCGGTCTCCACGAATCGGATGAGTCTCTGCTGCTTATATCCACGAACGACACAGTATCTGTCCTTTCCTGTCCGGCGTATCTCACATGGCGAAATGTCCTCAAGGTTCGCCCACGCTGTAGCCTGTGTCAGAATCCCCCGACGTGGCTAAGTGACATTCCATTGTGTGCATGGACCACATAGTCTATAGGTGCAATATTTTGTCGTTGTTTAGTCACTCAGTCGTGTCCAACTCTTTGCGAGCCCGTGGGGGCCGTAGCCTGCTAAGCTCCTCTGTCCATGGGATTCTCCAGGCAAGAGTACTGGAGTGGGTTGCCATTTCTTTCTCCAGGGGATCTTCCTGACCCAGGGATCGAACCTGGGTCTTCTGCATTGGCAGGTGGATTCTTTACCACTGAGCCATCAGGGAAAGCCCATATATCCAGTTTTTTTTTTTTTTAAATGAAAAAGACTACGTGGAAACTTACATTACTATATGTGACATAGATAGCCAATGGTAATTTGCTGTACAGCCCAAGAAACTCAAAAGGGGGCATCTGTATCAATCTAGAGGGGCGGGAGATGGGAGGAAGTTTCAAAAAGGAGGGGATATGTGTATACCTATGGCGGATTCATGTTGAGGTTTGACAGAAAACAGCAAAATTCTGTAAAGCAATTATTCGTCAATAAAAAAATAAATTAAAAAAAAAAAGAGAAAGAGTCAGGATAGCACACGGTATGCTGCTATCTGTCGCAAACAATAATAGGAAAAGGGAAGTGTTGCGTTAGACGCCCAGTCACGTCCGACTCTTTGCGACCCTGTGGACTGTTACCCCACCAGGCTCCTCTGTCCATGGGATTCTCCAGGCAGGAATATTGGAGTGGGTTGCCACTTCCTACTCCAGCAAAAGGGAGGAACACGTTTATTTGTTTGTCCAAAAAACCGTCTGGTGACAACAGACGAGTGGCAAATTTGTACAGATGAGTGGCAATCGTGTCCCTTGATGTGAGACTCATTCCTTGGGCTGACCTTCGACTTCTCCTTCCCTGGATACACAATAAAGATTGAATGTCACCGAGTGACTGGGTAACATTATGTGTAGTGAAAATGCCGGCCCCTGGCAGCCTCTTTGTGGCCATGAGGAGCCATAAAGACATGAGGGAAGCCAATTCTGGCTCTTGGGTGGGGTGGGGGGGGGAGGTCGGTGACCCTTGATGTGGCGTGACTTTTGCAGTGGCCCTGAGCCTTGAGAGATTGGCTTGCGTGGCCTGCGTGGTGGGGTGGGCTTCTGAGCTGGGGGCATCATCCTTCTCCCAGCTGAGCTGTCCCGGGGGAACCGGAAGATGTTTAAGGAGGCAACCTTGCAACGTGTAGGTAAATACATTCCGGAGATAATAGCAGGGTCAAAGTTACTAAGAAACTAGACCTTAATTGTTCTGAACATACAAAAGGCAATGGAAGCTATGTGAGGCTACAGCAGAGTTAGCTCACCCTATCGCTATCGACGCAAGCATATTGCAACACATAGGTGTATCAAAATGTCCCTTTGTACAGGGCAGACTCTCACAAAGTTATCTGCTATTTATATCTCCATTAAAAAATAAAGGATACAGAAAAAGAGAAAGAAAGCCCTTCAGTGAAGTAGTACCTATAATTTAGCCTTTGAT